GCCTACTCAACATGTCCACTTGGATGTCTTTTCAAACTTCACACATTCAACAAACTTTTGTTCCTCCCAAACTCCTCCATCGGAAGCCTTTGCCGTTTCAGTCTGGGAGAGTGTGAGGAATGTGTGAACATAAGAGAGGAAAATCCTCAGGAACACAACAAAAAAGCTGGTAAAAGAATGAAATCCAGTGAAGGAGACTGAAATGTAGGAGAACCAAAAACTGTAAGACCAAGAAAAAAAAAATGAGGACAGTTAATCCTGGCAAAAGCTCTACAAGGTTACCTATAAAATGAGGGCTGAAAAGCATCTACTGGGTTTGGCATTTTAGAGGTCATTGATGACTGTGGCCTCAATAGGTTTAGTTTAGAATAGTTTTTTGGGGGAAAGAGGGAAAGGGCTGCTATCTGGTATTAATGATCCCCAATGTCCCACATGCACACACACCTACAATATTTAAGCCAAATTTTATCCAGAGTTCAGCAGTTGTACTGAACTTCTGAGCTACATTTCCATCAGTGTGTCATATAAACACCTCATATCTAATAGGTCCAATAAAAAACTCATTTTCTTCCTTCCCTCTTGTTCTCTTTACTCAATTCTCACACATTCTCTTTCATGTTGAAACACCAGTACCTACCCCCAATACCTACTGCTCACTTAAAGTAGAAGACATATCTCGGTCATATTCTGTTTCTTCCTCCATGCCCAGTCCTAATCTGTCAAATCTAATTGTAGCCCCTACCTCCACCGCTCTCACTGAAGTCTTTAGCAACCTCCTTTTCTATTCTATTAAGCTTCCCTTGCCTGAGGACTTAAGGTTTCCACTCTTTCAACTATATTGTTACTAGTTAAATGAGTCAGAAAAAGACAAGTATCATATGATTTCACTCATATGTGGGATCTAATAAAAAAAAATGAACTAACAAGCAAAAGAGTGACAGATTTATAGACAGAGAACAGGCTGATAGCTGTTAGGGGGTTAGTGGGGACTCGGGGAGGAGGGTGGAGAGAGAGAGAGAGAGAGAGAGAGAGAGAGAGAGAGAGAGAGAGAGATGGATTGAGAAAGAGAAACTAACTCTTGGCTACGGACCAAAGTGTGAGGATTGCCACAGTGGAGGCGGAGGTGAAGGGAGGTGAAACAGGGATGGTGAACAGACATAGTAGGATAAAAGGTGATGGACAGAGACTTGACTTGGGGTGATGTACACACAATACAGTGTAAAGATATGTTGTAGAATTGTGCACTTGAAACCTATCTATTTTGTTAGCCAATGTCACCCCAATAAAAAGGAAAAAACTTCCAATAAAGAACATTAGTTAAAAACTGAATGCTGCTTACATCTTCCCACTGGTAATAATACAATCTCTTAGAACAGCACATTATGGCCTTTAAAATTTGGTTCTTATCTACCATTCCAACCTCACTTATCACAGTCCCCCACTTGCCCTAACATGATCATGGGGTCATGCACATACTTCCCATATTTCTCCTACCTCTGGAATAAATTACTAGAGCTTTCAAAGTTGAAACCACTTTCCCTTCTTAAATTAAAAATACAATTTCTAAAAGTTTGTAAAAATCAAAGAAAAAAAATTAGGCATAACATTGCCATTCTAACAAAACATATTTATTTCCCTCCTAATATTGTGCTATAAATATACATATTTGTATAGTAAACATAGTTCTGAATATTCTAACATATTTAATTATTTTCTTTCTCCTGTTGCAGAGAAGAAATATAAAAAATTACACAATATTATTTTGAGAAAAAGAAAAATTAAAAGAACAAAAAACAAGGGTGGGGACAAACTAGAGCTATGAATAGGATTTAAGATGCATACCATGGTGGCCTACTCATCTACTGTGAGTGAGCCACACATTTGGCTCTCAATTTTCTAGTAACCAATGTAAAAACTGAAACTTCATCCTTTATCCAAGTCCCAGTGCTCTTGAGATTTTTTTTTTTTTTTAAGTCTCAGTAATTTTGACTCTTCTTGGAACACATATTATAAAAAGATATTTCTACTGATGTCCTCCTCAAGAGAATACAGGGCAATATGCTTAACTTTGGGAAGATTCTGTATTAGAGACAGTGCATTACAATTCATGGCATTGCTCATACTGGAAATCAATAGAGATGGATGCCATTGCATAAATCAGAGTGATTCTGTAAAAACTATCTTTTTGGAAATCATTTGACCTTATCAAGGCACCCAGCTTTTTGGAGATCTGCTTTAAGTCACAGGTAAATCCTAATATTTTGAAATACTCACGTAGAATATATATTGTCACAGTAATGGCTGGATTTTTATCCTTTTAGAAAAACTTTCTGAGTATTGTTTCTCTTCAAGATTGAGTTTCAAACAATTCTTAGGTAAAATCTTAAAACTCCAGGCCCCCCATTGAGCAGTTGAGGATTGCTTGGAAGACCAGATTTTAGGTTGAAAAGTAAAAAAATCTCACTTTTTAATCATGAACATTGTTCCTTTGGAAAAAGCCCTCTGAATACAAGAATGTGGCTGGACCAGGAATGTCTCCCTATAATTCTGGGTTGCTCTAAAAGAAATAGGTGTACCACAGCACTTGATCATCCTGCATTGTGGACAGGAAGTCACTGTAGGACAGAATATGGAAAAACAGAATGGTTCCTACAGGCAAAGGTGTCAGAAAAGGGTGCACTTTATGTCTCTATTTGTTTAATCTGTATGCAGAACAAATCATATTAAAAACCGGGTTACAAAAAAAACCAAAAAAAACAAAAACTGGGCTATTCTCAGGAAAGGGGAGTGAAAACTGGTAAAATAAATAACAAGATATGCAGATGATACCATCATACTGGCAGAAAGCAGCAATAAACTGAAATGACTTCTGATGAAAGCATAAGAAGAAATTGCCAAAATCAGAACTGCATTTGAGCACCATGACTACAGAAGAAATATACAACTTTTACATAGATAATGGAAATATCAAAATTGTTAAAGCTTTTTGCTTACATTCAAATGGAGGCTGCAGCCAACAAATGAAGAGAAGGCTGAGATTAGAAAGGGCAGCAACAGGAGAATTAGAAAAGATCCAGAGCAAAGAGGTGTCATTAGAGACCAAGGCTAAAACCATTCACACCCTCCCACTCCCAAGTAAGACGTATGCATGCAGAAGTTGAACAGCAAAAACACTGATAGGGAAAAAAGTTGATTCATTTGAAATATGGTGTTGGAAAAGAGCTCTATGGCTACCCTGGACCAACAGAAAGATGAGTAAGTAAGTCTGAGAGCACATTAAGCTTGAAACTACTAGGGGCAGAAATGACAAAACTGAAGGTGTCCTACTTTGGGCACATCATGGGAAGGCAGGATTCTTTGGAAAAGATAACAATGCTAAGGAAAATAGAAAGTAGCAGGGAAAGGAAAGAGAAAGACCAAATAGGAGATGGGTAAGTCCATAAAAGAAGCTGGAGGCATGACTCTATCGGACCTGGCCAGGGCTGCTGAGGACAGGACACTGTGGCCATCACTCAATCACAGGGTCTTCAGTTGTCAGAGGGGACCCAACGGGCATATCACACAGAAGAAACTTGACTACTACACTCTTTGTTTTTACCGTCTCTTGAGTTTTTTAGGTTTGATAACATAGAAGCAGTTTTTCTAGCTTTGCTTTTATTAATATTTGTAGGGCTGCTGTGAGATGTGGATTCTTGTTCCTAATGAACTCTATCACTTAACTAGATGGCTGACCTTATGCAGGCTATTTAAAGTGTTTGAGCTCAGTGCTCCTCCCTGGTAAAATGAGGACATTGTAGTAGTTCATCCCTTTCCTAGAACTCCTTCCACTTATACGAAGTCACACTGACCCTCTGCCCAAGAGTGGGCCTGGAGTACTCCAAGGCAGTCACACATTTTAGTAAGGGCATGGGCTTTGCAAGACAATAGTCCTGGTTCCACTCTGCAACTTGGGGCAAGTGTTCACCTTGGTAAAGCTCAGTTTCCCTCTCTGTGACGTCAGAATGACACTAGCCCTCACAGAGTTGTTGTATTGAAGGAGACTGTAAATCCAGCTCTAAATACAGTGTCTGGCACACAACAAGTACTCAATCAGAATCATCTACTTTTAACACAGTTATTTCCTTGGGCCCACTGAAATAGTTCTCCTCTAACAGCCTTTCTCCGACCTGAGTATCAGCACTATTATGGCTACAGCATTTAAAGGTTTGAAGGTGCCAGCATGGGCTGGCTTAGAAAAAAGTTGGAAAGACACGGGCTCAGAGGATTTTTTAAAATAAACAAAACAACCTGTATGCTGACCTTTACCCTGTAATTCTTTTATTTAATAACAGCCTATTAATAAACATAACTTTAAGCTGTTTGATTTATACTAATTGTAATCTATGCCAACTATGCTACCTGAAAGTAATAATAAACCTTCTCTAAAGCAATTATAATGGAAGTTTGCTTCACTTTTCTGCCTGTTTTGAAACAAGGTCGTGGGGATAGTTCTTTGCATTGAGTTGCCATCAGTAGATATTTAATCGTTTTAACTTTTGATCATACGTAGGTTCTATTTAAATACAACTAAATGTGATAAAAAATCATTTTTAGATGCATGAGATAAGCTTTGAAGTCTGTGTAACTACTGTGTTTTATATTTTAAAAAACAATTGCTTAACCAGAAAAGAAAAATTCCCCCAAATGTGGGAAACCTAAGTTCTTTGCTATGAACTTAGCTACAGCAGGAAATATGTGTTTGTTTCTTATTACCCTAGTGCTTCCATAGCCAAATTAACTTTCAAACACTGCATTTTCATTCTGTATAACCAACAATTGTCACCCTGCCCTGTGGAAACTGATAATTCTAAGGGAGTTCAAGAATAATTGCATAATTACACCTAGTAAGGCCAAGTGTGACCCCACAGCTCGGAGACAGACCCTTTGTGAACAGGAACCCTTATAACTCAACCCTACAGGATGGATTAACTGTTTTATAGCAAAATGGATCTGAATTACCATTATATATTTAAGAATGTCTCCTTCTTGATTCCAGGTTTCTCCTCATTCATGAGATGTGAACCCCAACAAACTTATAGAGTGTTCACTTGTACTATTGCTAAAACGTTCTCTGCAGGATAAAAGGTGAGTAATACGTTCTATAGATACCTGCATGTTAAATATCCAAAATTTATCAAGATACCGTAGAGACTTTGATGACAGCAATTCAATTTTTAAAGTTTCTTAGGAAGTAGCTTATTTTCTGTCTCTATTTCTTTTAATGTTTTGTTTGATAAACTCTCATGAGCTTCACTTACATTAAAAGCAACTTTAAAGGACTGCACGCTGAATTTTTAACAACTTTCTAAATGCCTAAGCCCGGCCGGTGCTACTCAATGGTTAGGTTCAATTCCCAGTAAGAACACATGCCTGGTTGCAGGCTCAGTCCGCAGGAGGGCGTGTGCAGGAGGCAGCTGATCCGTGATTCTCTCTCATCATTGATGGTTCTATCTCCCTCCACCCCCGCCCCTCTTTTCCTCTCTGAGATAAATACAAATATATCTTAAAAGATAAAATTGCCTAGAAGCATTATTAATTGGCCAAAATTGATTTAATCAGGAAAAAGAGATTATTGAGTGGATACATTTTTATAGCTTCTGGATTAAAGAAGGAAAACATGGGGGATTTAAAACTGTCGCTACACTATAGTAGATCTGGTTTTGCTCACCATCACAGTGCTGGTTGAAATGGAGTGTCCCTGCTTCCTACCTGTTCAATCTTGCACTTTTTGTTCAGTGATGGTAAAAGAAACTGGTGGAGGTAAATGTAAATAGCCAGAATGGTTTAGCAGAATCCTATCTGAGTCTGACAGAAACGCTGCCCTCTCCCCAGTCTGTCCACCTTCAAACTTGCCAAGCCTTGTTCGCTCTGGCTTTCTTTAAAAAATGCACTTCTGGCGAGTGAGGAAAGGTTTTGTGCTGTTTTCAATGACTCACCCAAAATAACTCCATTCAACTTGTAAAGGGTCCTGTTCTGAATGCAGATTGTGTTTGTTCTGAGATGGGCACGGAGGGGCTGCAGAAGGCAGATTAGAGAAGGGAAATGTGATGGGAGAGGCCAGTGGAGCTCAGGCTCACATCAGGATTATTTTTAAAAAAGACATTGTGTGCATGTTTTCAAAAACCGTTTATAATATCTGCACCATGTAAGGCTTTTAAAGATACACTGATATTAGATAGGTACATGGTTCATATAGTCACTGACTTCTTTTTTTCTGATCCTCATAAAATACAGGAGATATTTACATGCAAATATATAATTCCAAAGATATGCATAGTGAAATAAAAATTTTAATAGTTCTAGTAGCTGCACATAGGAAGTAATCACATACATAAGAACTAGAAATAATCTAAAATTAGGAAACAAATGTGTATCAATAATTGATCATAGGACAATTATTTTAAAACTGAAAAAGGCAATATTGGCAACCCCCTGGTTAGTTGTGTACCGCAGAAAAATGTTAACTCTCAAGTGGCATTGACTGAGCACTTGATAGCAATAGATAAAGCTCCTTAAAAGCTTGTATGATTTATAATGCCAGAGATATTTAATAGCAACATTTTAGGGCAAGACTAAAAAGAAAAATAATAAAGGACTGATTTAATCTTGAGCATTAAGATTTCACAGCTGAATTAAAAATATTTTGGCTTTCCTATATGAAACTATGTCCAGTTATGAGGATATCAAAACCTCTTTTGAGTTGTTTAATTCATGAAACAGATCCAATAATGCTTATTCTGTTATATAATCTTGCTTCATGTGAATATTGATGACGAATAGATGAGCCATTCTTACCTGTTGCTTAGAAACACCAGAGAATTGAGCTACTGAGAAGAAATCAAGCTCTCTACAAAGTTTACCACAGAAAGTGTAAATGTCACATTATGTGGCAAATGGAAAAACTGTGATCTGGGAATGATGAAATGAGGGATAAAATTACAAGTTTTCAACATGCACAAAATCAGAAGTATAAAACTTTTCCAAATTATGTAAATAATGTTCAAGGTAAAGTTCCTGTGGTATTGACACCTGCTTTTCCTTTTAATATGTACTTGGGAAAATATGGGAAATTAAAATACTATATTGTTATGCTATATTAATGCTCCCTTATGAAACATTGATAGGACAATGAACTGATATAATAATCCTTGATTTTTTTTGCTAAGGTGAAAGAATAAATAATAGGTGTAATTATACACCTTAAATATACAAATTTATTATTGTACTTTCAAATACATGTCTACAAAAATCAGAAATACTTTAATGATTAATAATGACAAAGAAATATATTTTTAAAAAATCTTATATTTCAAAAAAACAAATATATTTAAAAAAATTTAAACAATTAAAAAAAAAAAGTTAGACAAGCCACTTTTCCTCAGAGTTCAATTATATGATTTGTAAATAAATCTTTAAACATTTTTGAAGTATTCACTTGCTGAGTAACATTTTCCTTTCATTTTCTTTTATGCTATGGCAAATGATTCCACTCTTATTCCTGGAAATGTTAATAGTTATATTGAGAGGCCCAAATGATTTCATGTTGAAATACATTTTAGAAATAGTGAGTTAAACAAAGGTAAGCCTTTTTTTTCTTAAAGTAAATTTTGAGGACTTATCAAGTCTTATTATGACAGGGTTGGGGTAGATTAGGATATAACATGCAGTGTTTTCCAACCTTATTTCATATAGAATTTTTCTCTCCGGTAATCATATCTATAATAATAAAAGGGCAATATGCTAATTAGACTGGACAGCCAGATGTCCTTCGGGACGAAGCCAGGGCCATGAGGGCCGAGCCCCTTGCATGAATTTTGTGTATCAGGCCTCTAGTTGAAATATAAAATGCTGCTCTCTTTGTTTAATTTGCATTCTACTCACCTTATTCCTCCCAGCTCCCCTAATCTTAATAAAGGTTGAAAATTTGGTAAACTACATCATTATCACTTTCTGGTCAGGTTCTAAATTATTAAGATTTAGATGTATAAAAGAACATTTTTGATCTTGTAAATATTTAAGGAACAATACCGTAACTAGAACCAAAATGCTTTAGTCTACCTATTAGTAAATTTTGTTTTTTAATTTTGAGATATGTGTTAAAATCTGGGAAAACAAAAAAAATTACTGAATTGAAGTGAGCATAATGTTGCAGTTTTGACATAAGCTTTCCTATTTATAAAAATAGAAATTGATTTTTGCCTCCTACAATATAATAATTCCAACAGCTATACTGAGTATCTACCGTATTCTATGTCATCCTCACATCACCTTAGATCGTCATCATGATTCCTATTTCACAGATGAGGAATGTGATGCCCAGGGAGATATTGTCTTGCTCTAAGATAGGGGTGTCAAACTCAATCAGAGAAGGGGCCAAAATCTAAAATCCAGCCTAAATCGCGGGCCGAATGGTTTACTGAACAGTCATAAACTGTCATTGTGATGGAAACACAGCGGAGTGCAGTGATGACAGCCCAGGTGTGGGCCACATTGCAAGGCCTGGCGGGACGGATTTGGCCCTCGGGCCTTGTGTTTGACACATGAGCTCTAAGGCTCTAATACAACTAGGCAGAGACAGACAGAAACAGATTTCAAACTTCAGTCTGACACCAAAGACCCTACTGTTTCCATTACATCATGCTGGTTGGAATTATGCACATCTTATATAATAAAAGCAGAGTATGCAAATTGTCTCTTCTACCCGGAGTTCTTCCTGGAGTTCGGCCAGGGGTTGGAGCCGGCCCGAGAAGGGGGGGAGTGCCCTGCTTGCCACCACCTGCTACTAGGGGTCCTTACCAGTGCACAAATTTCATGCACTGGGCATCTAATGTATAATATAAATGTGTTTCTCCATCTTATAAGCATCAGTAGTCAGATATTATCTTTTATGTAGAATTTCTGCAATGTGGATGTGCTGTTGGTCTACAATGCAGTAGCTGTTTGGAAAAAAACCTTGAAGAAGCAAACAGCTAGACTCTCCTCATGTGTGATAGGGCATTCATTATTGAATAAATAAAACACCTTGGGTATTTTTTAAAATCGCAAATTTGAGAATGATAACCCCCTACTTTTTAAAATAGCCATTTTAAAAAGAATTTCAAGGATTTTTCAAGGATTTTATTCTCTATTATTTCTGTATGTAACATTTTGCATTAAAAATCAGCATGTAGAAGAAAACTGAGGATTGTGCCATTGTAAATTCAACAACTATTGTTACCTGCTAACAATTTTTTCTTCCTTTAACTGTGGTGGTTTCATTTTAAACTGTAAATTATGGTTCATTATTGCTTTTCTCCAGAATTCTTGTCTATAAAAGTGTGTTTAAACAATAAAATTAAGTAAAAGACAATAGGTCTTAGAGAAACAACATAAAGCAAGTATCTTATCCATTCCACTATCCATTCTGAAGGACATAAAGTATAAAAAATTACTTCAGAAGATCTCATTGTTCCTTGTGATACTGGCATTGTACTAAAAGTGTAAGAGGTATAGGAAGATATTTAGAAATGCTCTTATTCTCTCACAGTTTACAATTTGGCTGGGAAGTCAGAGACCAGTCATATTATTTACTGTACAGTTTAGTCCCCACGTAAATGATGTAGACATTTGCAGTTGTGTATCAGAAAATTGTGGGAGAGATGTGAGTGGGAGTCGTGGAAAGATATAGTGAAGGAAAAGTTCTGGCTCCACTAGGTCTTGATCATAAAGGTACTGTACAGAAAGACCAGGAATAAATTGAGAAGCAAGGATATAGGGTCAGTAACAGTCTGTGGAAATGATGGAAATGAAGCTGGGAGAAGTTGGGTAAGGAGGGGTCCTCTAGGGCCCTGAATGACACAAAAGAGTGTACCTTACTGTCTTTTGACCAGAACCTTTGGGTGCCTCCTCCCTCATTCTCTCTCCTTACCTTTCCTACAGGCAGCTAGACTCTGGCCTATTTTTGAGGGTCTTTAAACTGTTAGCTGCTTTTTGCCATAGGACTCTTGAAGGCCGAAACGTCGTTAAAATTCAAAGAGTAATAGTGAAGTTTCAAACGAGTAAGAGAAAATAAAAAGTATCACTGTCCTAGTTCCCTTAATAGTTCATGGAATACATAAGGCCCAGATGATAAGTAGACGGTACTGGAAAGTCAGTATGGATTTTGGATATGATTTTATAGATAGAGCCTGTCCTGGCAAAACCATTAGAAAGCAGTGCGTGTCTGGTTTTGAATACGGTTTTATAGTCTTCCTCATGAGACTCTTAAAAAACAACAAAAGGGTACGCTCACACGCATTCGAAAATCGGTTCTGAACCCTGACATCATTGGTTTCTTGTAGCATCTTGTTGCACCCAAATCCAAGCACGTGTCCCCAGCTATCTATCCCGTGCGCTCTAGTTTCCCGTCCCTCTCCATGTCCAGCGTCAGTGTGGCATTTCCAGCTTCAATATTCTTTGCCAGCCCACCTGCCTACCATCCCCACAACCTCCGTCCACAGCTTCCTTACGCAGGAAGCATGGTCTTCCCCAGCCTGGACGTTAGGACAAGACCGGGACCAGGAGGAAGCGCCTCCCCGCCCCTCTCCGCCCGCAGCTGCCCGAACACAATTCCCTGGCCTCCCCGGGTGGCTCGTAGCGAGCCAGGCGGACACTTGGTGGCCCCTGGTCCTCCCCCATGGCTCCGCTTTGGAGCAGAGAGAACGTGGCGAGGAGGACACCACCACTGGCAAACAGACCAGCAAACAGACCTCGCCCCCTCGGCCGGGCGGCGGGGCCAGCCTCCCGCTCCCGCCCCCGCCGCGCCCCGCCCACCCCGCGCGCCCCCGGCCGGAAGGGGGCGGGCCGCCGGGGGAGGGGCGCGCAGACGCCGGGCCGCCAGCCCCGGGCGCGCCGGCGGGAGGCGGGAGGGAGGCGGGAGCGGGACGCCGAGGTGAGAGGCGGGGGGCGGGGTGAGAGGCGGGGGGCGGGGCCGGGGGCGGGGTGAGAGGAGGCGGGAGGCGGGGGCCGGGGCGGGGAGCGGGGCCCGGGGGCTGGCCGGCGCTCGGCTCCCCGCGGCGCACGTTCGGGCCACTCGCGCTCCCGCGCCCGCCGACTTCATGTGAAGCGCCGGCCCTCCGCCTCCTCCCTCCCCTTCCTCTCCTCCCTCCCTCCCATCCCCTCCTCCTCCTCCTCCTCCTCCTCCTCCTCCCGCTTCTCCTCCTCCTCCTCCCGCGCCCTCTGCCCCGGGCCCCCAGCCCGGCCGGCCGGGCGCTGACCGAGGGGCGGGGGTCTCTGCCGCCTCGTCCCGCGCAGCTCCGGCTCCGGCCCCGGCTCGGCGGCGGCGCGGCGCCCGGCGGCCATGGACCGGCCCCTGACGGCGTCGGCGGAGGCGGAGGAGGAACTGGAGTGGCAAGTGGCGAGCCGCCGGAGGAAGGCCTGGGCCAAGTGCCGCGGGTCCTGGCAGGCGTCGGAGACGGAGGACCCGTCCACCGAGGCGACGACGCAGGACGAGGACGAGGACGACGAGGAGGACCTGCCGGGCGCCAAGCTGCCGGCGGCCGCGGGGAGAGGTCGGTGCGCCCCGGGGCTGGCGGCGGGGGGACTCGGGGGGGAACGCGGGCTGGAGGCGGCGGCGCGGGGAGGTCTCGTGCTGCTCTGGGCGCCTCCGGGGAAGCGGTGGACGGACGGACGGACGGACGGACCGCCCTCCCCATCCCCGGGGCTGCAGAGGCCGATGGGGGAGAAGGCACCTCCGAGCTTTAAACACGCGCGCTCGGGGCGAGGAGGCGGCTCCAGCGTCCAGCCCGGTGCCGGCCCGCGTCTCTCTCCGGAGGGACCCCGGACGGCTGCCCGGGCTGCGTGTGGACCCCCGGGGACCCTCCTGCGGGCCAGCCTCCGGGTTCTCCCCGCCGTGGGGGCCTTCCTGGGGTGGGTAACCAGCTGCCCCTCCCCTCTGCCCCGCAGGAAACGTGCCCAACGAGAAGATCGCGATATGGCTCAAGGACTGCCGGTGAGTGCTCCCGCGGGCGCCGCCGTCCCCGTGGGTCCCCCAGGTTCCTTGTCAACCAGAAGCCGGAAAGGGAGCCTGCGGATGGCTTCCTCCTCCGAGCGATGGGAAATGGAAGCCCCGGGGCCGCCGATGAGTGGGTGACCGTGGTCAGCCCTCCCGTGGTTGGAACTGAGCTCCGGCGGCGAGTGATGCTCCTTGCGCATCAGGGATCGCGAACCTCACACACACAGACCCCCGTGCCGTGTGGTTAGGCTCGCCTTGTTTTTGTTCCAAAGGGTTTCTCACGTGCCACACGGTGCTTCATTTCGCTTTTGTTTTGACATCTTGACATCTGGCCTCGGATCGTTTCCCTTTCCAGTGTGTGTTAAGTTAGATGAGTTCTTTTTTTAATTACCTTAATTGCACTTAACACTATCTGGGCTTGCATATTTTTTTTTGTGAGTGTGTGTGCGTGCCCCAATGCTGTTTGGAGAGCTAGTAAAACCAGCTCACTTTTTTGTTCTTGTGATTTACTTCTTGGAAACGCATTTGTCAGATGGCGCTGGAATTCACGGAAGGGAACTGGAGCTTTGAAGGCCTTCAGACTGCATAAATCTGTTTAATTACAGGTTTTGGCAACTGGCACAAAAATGATAAAGAAGGGGGGGTGAATCATATTGCAATCAAATCTTGTGACAGTGAAATGTGCTTGTTAATTCTCCTCCCTCCCCCTCCCGCCCCAATGTATTGCTTCTTATAAAATCTCCAGGGAAAAATGTTGCTTTTTAAGACGTTTGTTTCTGCACGTATTTTTTTTTTTTTTTCTTTGCCAGACATTTGGGGCTTTTCTTAATCTTGTGTTCAAGGACCAAAGTTTGGGAAGTCGTTTTTTGGGAAGGAGGGTGAAGTGATTCTCTTATAGGTCAATTTATTTCTCTTTCCTAAAGATAGATTAAAATATTGGCCACTAGTCTATTGATGTCCTACTTTGATGAATTGCCTGGAGCCTTCCTGAACACTTTATTGCAAAGATCCTTGACCTTTATTGAGGGTATCATCGATCCTTCTGAGAAAGGATAAAATATGTGACCCCTTTCTCTAAAGATACACCAAAAAATGTTTAAGAGCAAGAGAAGAATCACATTAGGTTTACTGTATGATGTAAAGGAATTAAGATTGTATAAGAGATTATATTCAAGTATGGGGCAGGTGTCCTTGATTATTTCAAGCAGATCGTAAATAAGTACATCTTTTAAGATAAATGCAGTAAGCAAATGTTAGTGTTCAGCAGGATGCATCATGTCTGAACATTTGGGAACTTTTATTGCTAGTCTCGATTAACGCAGGCAGATTCTGAAGTCTGCCACTCCTTTGCTGCTTTTTTCTCTAACATGTTGCACCTGTTCTGTTTAAAAGTGGCAGAGGTAGAATAGGTCTTTTACTGTTGGCTTTATTATCACAGATTTGACTTCTAGGATATATGCAACTGTATTTGTGTGTGTGTGTGTGTGTGTGTGTAACAAGTTAAGATCCTTCGGAGAGCTGAGCATCTAGCTACTTCGTACATTGTAAACAAATTATCTGAAGACAGCATTTTGTTCTCAAATAGTCATTGTTTTCTTATTGCTGCCCATATCCTGAGTAAAGACACCACACTGTGTTTTCTTAAAGTAAATATTTAATTTGATAACCATTTATCTTACTTTATTTCTGGCTAAGTGGAAACATATTGCTTGGATTACCATCTAAGACTGGACAGAGTTTTTGATAGAATTTGGAAGTGAGCAAGTATAAGAGTGAGATTTGTGTTTGAAGGCCAGTTATATTATGCTTATTTGCCACTTTGTGTCAGTGCACAGACCAGTGGGTACATCTGTACAAGGAGTAATAGTGTTTTGTCCTAATAAAGGAGCCATTGAGAAGAATGACCTTTCTTATGGCATAAATTAGTTTCATTAAAACATATGTAAAAACTTAGCTCAAAGGTTTTGTTAATATCTTTATGGCAATTGTTTATGATTCTTTTACTAAGAAAAAATTACAGAAAGCATGAATTTTACTAAAACACGAATTTCCAAAGAACTGCCTCTGCTATATTTTGTTTGCAGAAAATCAACATTTAATTGGCATTTCAATAACATTTATTTGAAACTGATGTTTTTATGTTGATACTACATCTGAGGGAATTTGTAACAGGTATAAATTATTATGAAAGTAAAACTTTCAAACTAAAACAATCTGGTTCTTTAATATAGTTTTGAGGAAGAAGTGAAAATCCTTTTTTTTTTTTTTTTTTTTTTTTTGCCTTGAAAAGAGATTTCTAAGTTATCTGCGACCTACAAGAATGTGAAAGGATTTTAGTAATGGCTAGTTCTTAAGGTTGATTCTCAAGCCGACGTTTTAGTCATTTTCTTTTCAGAGTACAATGAAGAATACATGTACTTTTTAGTTTAAAAGCAGAAAATAAACCTCCAGCCTCCCCATTTGTATCAATAAAGATAGTAGTTGGGATAAAGGCAGTGCCCAGCGCTCTAACATGCTAGTGATAGATTTAACAGATAAGGTTCACGGTAACTATGGAGCCTTCTTTCTGACTAGACTCTGACTTTTAGTTTTGTAGAGATAACCATTTGCTTTCTTTTAATTCTGTTTCCTGTTTCTAGGGAGCAGCCTGAGAGAAGCAGACATTTTCTCAATTCCTGCTGTAATTCTCTCTTTCTGTTTCTGTAAAGAAAGTGCCAGTTCGTATCACTTATAATTGCCATTCTTGCTTTTAATTGCTGGCAGATCAGACGTGTGATTAAATCATTCCTGGTAAACTGACTTGACACAGGTATTTGCTTAGCTCGTAGCCGTGGCCTATTCCTTACGTAATCCACTTGCATTCCTTGTGTGTTTGGGAGGAGAGTTACACTGTGATTAGAAGCTTGCTTAGCTACAACCCTTTAAGCGTGAGGCTTGCAGTGATAGCTCTCCAGACAGCTTTTCAAGACTAAGGTGTATGCGTTTCTGTGGTTTCAGTACCCCGCTGGGAGCCTCACTGGATGAGCAGAGCGGTAGTGCGCAGAAGGGTAAGAAAAAGTTGCCTTTCTAAATCTGTTCTTTACGAGGGTCCTGCTTCCTTTGTCCTCTAAGTGAGAATATAGCTTGTCAAGAAACTTTTTGAAAGGTGGCAAGCTTAAGCACATTACCAAACATTTCTATAACAGGAAACTATGTTTTTATTGTCCGGATAAAGATATACTAATCAAGTACAGAAATAGGATATGTGAATGTAAGGAAAATATATATTGTGTGAGGTAGATCAGCCTTAGTGCAGCATTTCTTTGCTTACATTAACTGACGTGGCCACACCTGAAATTTCACCACCTTTGCAAGACAGAATGCTAAAGTTCAAAGTACGACAAGAATGTGCAGGTAGTGGCAAGGCATATAAGGAACATTTACAGTATTGGGAGAGTCTAGCTTGAGCTCCTGATTTAATGTAAGGGGTGTGAAAGGATGATTCCTCCAAGATCTGGTTTTCCACGAAAACCTTGGGTAAGATACCTATTATCTATTTGAACATCTACAAAGGCATAAGTATTAAATAGCCTGTACGTTGGCTTCTAAGAACTTCACCTGCCTGCAAATCTTGGTTTCTTTATGATAAAGTTTGTACTACTTGAAACTGTATAATCAGAATAATTTTCAAGGGCATTCGGGTCTGAAACACTTTACTGTATCATATATTTTGCTTGGTCAGTTTGGCTTACTAAGACATTGATTTTACATGGGGGTCAGGAGGAACAGAACAGTAGGATGAGTCTTCTGATGTTTCTTTCAGGTGTGCTGGTGAGAAATGGAGGAAGTTTTGAAGATGATTTGTCACTGGGAGCTGAAGGTACATTTGTTTGTATTTTCACATAGTTTTTAAAATTACATAACGAAGGAGAGCAAGTTGATTGCTTTCAAATTCTCAGAGCTAAACTTAAAGGTTTTGAAAATGGCTCAGACACATTTTATAGGACCTTTTATATGTTAACAATCTAGTCAGAACATATATGATACATATAAGAATGTCTCTGAAAACTTTTGTGAAATGTCCATGTGCCTTCTTTGGACTTAAATGCTTAAATGAACTGTTTGGAGGCAAACAATGGTGATATAACTGGGGGAAGAATTGTCCTACAGAGGGAAGGAAACTTAAATACGTGAGAAAACTAAATTGAAGCTTATGTTTAGTATGAGGTAGCTTTATGTCAGACTTACAGCTGCAGTGTGTCTTTCTCTTTGCATTCAAGTGTCTCTTTCTTTCCCTCTCCTCTTTTTCCAGATTTTTAGGAGATTAAAGGATAAATGACTTTATCCTTTACCAAAGTTTTATTAGAAATAATTATGCTGAGGTCTATTCCAGACTGCATTAGCATTTTAAGTGTATTGTGCTATGCTTAAATTTTCACAGATTATATAATCTCTTCCAGTGGGTTGATAAAGCTTTCCATAATGTAAAATTTCCATAATGTAAAATTAAGAACTTTTTATTACTTTATTGGTATTTTTAAAGATTATTGGTAGCTGTATAGCTTAATAAAAGAATTAAGAATTTTATTGAATTTTTTAAAATTATAATTTGATTAATAGTGAATTTTCTCCACTGAATTTAATATCCTTGATCTTTTGCTGTTTTAAATCAATCTGTATGATATAGAAGCTTCTAGTAAATATTGAAAAGTCTAGAATAAATTATTATCACTGTTAATATGCTTTCAAGGAATAAACTCTGTGTAAGGAGCTTAAACTTATTGCTTTCCAATCACAATAATTAAACATGTGTCGACCCATTTTTAAAAGCCTTTCAGTATTACTGTAAATAACACTGATATTTGTCTTAGTAGTTTCTTCAAAATATGGAATTATTTTTTAAGACACTATGTTTTTAGAGCAATTTTAGGTTCACAAAAACATTGAGGGAAAGGTATAGAGATTTCCCATGTGCTTCTGTTTCTGATGTGTGTGGCCTCCCATTATAAACATTCCCCACCACAGTAGTACATTTATTACAATTGAACCTACAAGGAAGTATCATAATTACCCAAAGGGCATAGTTCACCTTAGGATTCACTCTTGGTCTTGTTCATTCTATGGGTTTGGACAAATGTGTAATTACATATCGCCGATGTAATATCATATAGCATATTTTCACGGCCCTAAAAATCCTATTGCTCTGCCTGTTCATCCATAAGTAAATGATTTCATGGGAAACCAGACCCTAAAAAGAGTGTCCCAGAAAAGAGGAGAGTTATGCCCTGGCGGGTGTTGTTCGGTGATTAGAGCATCCGCCCTAGCACTGAAGGTTTCCGGTTCAATTCCCAGTCGAGGGCATGTGCCTGGGTTTCAGGTTTGCTCCCTGCCCCCTGTGGGGTGCATGTGGGAGGCAACCAGTTGATATATCTCTCTTTCTCTCTCTCTTCCTCGTTCTCCCTTCCTCTCTTTCTCCTCCCCTCCCCTCCTCCTTCCCTTCCACTCTCTCGGAAAAGCAAATTGCTTTTCCGAGAGAGTGGAAGGGAAGTGAGCCCAGCTGATGTGCCCAGCTGATGTGCCTCAGTGGTTGGGCATCAACCTATGAACCAGGAGGTCACAGTTCAAATCCTGATCAGGGCACATGCTGGGGTTTCGCCTTGATCCCCAGTAGGAGGTGTGCAAAAGACAGCCAATCAGTGATTCTCATCATTGATGTTTCTTCCTTTCCGTCTTACCGTACTTCCTCTCTGGAATCAATAAACACATATATTTTAAAATATCCTCAGGTGACGATTAAAAAAGGAAAAAAGGAAAGAGGAGTTTTACTGAAAATTATTTCAAATTTATTTTCATTCAGTAAATATTGAGTAGCTATGTGTTTATGTACAAAGAAACATAAGAAATTTCTGTGACTTTGTAGATCAGAAATGAAAAAATAAATGGGGTATGCTGGAATAGACGTTTTAAATTAGTTTCATTCTTTATGTTTGTCTAAAAAAGTTAAATACAGTAAATTTAACTTACTCTAAGCTTAACATTAATCTGTTTAGGACTTGTATGTCTGGGATAAACTTGAAAGGCAATTTTAAAAAGAAAAATTGAAATGAGTAGAAGTTTTCCAAATATGTGCATTAAAAAGTGGTTGTAACTGGAGTTTCCATCCTTAAAAAAATCACAGTAGAAAGTGATGCATACTGTTGCCACACTTAATGCTGAATCATTCTTTATTAACAGCTTTTAAATTTAATAATAAGAATCTCCTGCCGAAACCGGTTTAGCTCAGTGGTAGAGCGTCGGTCTGCGGACTGAAGGGTCCCAGGTTCGATTCCGGTCAAGGGCATGTACATTGGTTGCAGGCACATCCTCGGGAGGGGGTGTGCAGAAGGCAGCTGGTCGATGTTTCTCTCTTCTCGACGTTTCTAGCTCTCTATCTCTCTCCCTTCCTCTCTGTAAAAAATCAATAAAATATATTAAAAAAAAAAAAAGAATCTCCTATACCACATATGCTGTGTATCTTCTTACCACTTATTTCTAAATTGTTAAACAAAGAAGTTTAATTGGTTATTTACATGGCTTTTTATTTTAAACATTCAGTAGAAATAGTTTTAAATTGATATCTCATAAAAACAAAAACAACCTCCATAAGCTACTGTTTTCTGTTCTTACTGATCTGTGTATTACTTTTAATGATATAGATTTAGGGAGTCATGACAAGAGTTGGCATATTAGGCATTTAACAATAGTATTGTGGCTGATTTGCTAATTGTATCATAGTAGTTCCTGTCGTACTAACAATTGTACTCCACATTTATTCTTTTTACCTGTAGCCAACCAACTCCATGAAACTGATGCTCAAATTGAAAACAGGTATGTAACTGTGTGTTTTTCCTTTTTAAAAATGAGGGATATTTAGGAAAATAAGATTTTATATAATCTATTTTTTATTTTATAGCAGTAGTATCTTGGCCAAAGACAGAAGACTACAGTTTCATCAGAAAGGGAGAAGTATGAATTCCACTGGATCTGGAAAAAGTAGTGGGACAGTCTCAAGGTAACTTATTATTAAATTATGCTGCAATTACATTGTGCTGTAGATGACCTTCTCTTGTCACCTTTTCAAACTTGGATTTGGTGTAATAGTATGAAATTGACAGGAATCCAAAGTGTTTCATGGTTCAGCATGACTGACAGGAGCAGCTGCTGTCTTTTTTTTTTTTTTTTTTTTTAATTAAGAGTGAATAAAGAGCAACAAATATGTTTATAGTGCTGTTGGAATTCATTAATAAGTATTTTGAACCCTAGCAACAACTTGAAAGAGGAACTCCATAGTAGAGTAACTTCTGCTTCCAAAATTCTTCCTTCTGTTAGGGTCTTGAGTTACTCTGACATAGAAATCAGAAAAACCTTCCTAATTTAAAGCTTGATATTTAAGCATAGGTTTTTCTTTCTACTAAAGTAAAGATCTTTATAATATGTGTATGTGTATTTATATGTATATGTATATGTTTATGTATATATGCAAATACATGTGCCTCTGGAACCAGTTATCTAAACTATTTTATTGGAACCTGAGCACTTTTTTGGAAACAAATAGAAATTTTTTTCTGTTCAAATTCTATCTCTAACAGTCCTATTTTTCTCAGTGATCCTCAGCGTGGATTATCAGGATGAGAGAGATGGGATAATAAATGTTCAGTTCCCAATGGCATTAGAGTAAGAAGTTACCTTTGTGTAACCCACCTTACTCACCTTACTCCTCCTACTTCCCTAGTGGAAGTGGTTGAAGTAGCTCCTCCCTCTTTCCTGAGATCAGGTTGTTACCTGTGCTGCCTCTCAGAGGAGAGCCAAGGGTAGCAGAGAAGCTCCAGGTCTACCGAATGTCACTTGGTACCCAAGTTCTGCCAACTTCCTAGTGTGTTTTCCCTTTTCATTTATTCTTTCAATGTTTTTATTCCTTGTTCTCTCCCATCTTTCCTCTTAATTGTTTTGTTTTAGCTGCTTTATTGGGAATCTCTTAAAATGCCAAAAAAAATAAGGTGAGGAATCACTTAGAGAATCTCTGACTGAGTACGTTCTTAGGGGTTATCTCTTTTCTCCATGCTGACAACTTGAGAGAGTGGGCATTTTCTAAGGGATATCACATTTGAGACATGGTGTAGAAAGATACTGAAATAAATAATGGTTTAAAGCTGTAGGAAAAGGTTTTTATCACAGAAAAGCAGGAATATGGATTTATTTATAATGTAATGTGGACTATAAACTCATTTTATATCTTGGTATTTCTTTTCTTTTTTTTCTCCTGTTTGGTAGTGTTTCAGAATTGTTGGAACTTTATGAGGAAGATCCTGAAGAAATTCTTTATAATCTTGGATTTGGACGAGATGAACCGGACATTGCTTCTAAAATTCCTCCCAGATTTTTCAGTTCCTCATCATTTGCCAGAGGAATAGATATTAAAGTATTTTTGAGTGCTCAAATGCAACGGATGGAAGTAGAAAACCCAAATTATGCTTTAACAAGTAAGGTTTTTTAAATATTAGTATATTATTTTCAAAATTAGATGGTCTTGTTTTCAAAGCCTCGCTGATTTCTAGGAATAGCACTGGAGATTTAATTATTGAGGTTAACACAATAGCTATTTTAACTTACTTGGAAATTTTATTATTCTATTTATGGAAGTTAATTTACCTACTCTTCTCCCCCTCCCTCCCAAATTTTTGACTTAAGTGTTATCTTACAGTGACACATGCTGCCTTGTGGAGCAGAACCTTAGACTGAACACCTGTCTCCAGAAGGCTTTGTTCAGGAAGGAAAGAAGGAGGGGAGGGGCCTTGTTACTATGAAATGAAATCAATTTCAGGTGCTTTTATGTAAATCTAAAATAGCACATGTAGTAATTTTTATTCATATTATACCTTTGTTTACTTTTCTCTATTGGCCAAAATTTTCAAAAGAGGATTAGCTTTAAGAGATCTATAAATCCACCCCCTCCCTAATTATGTACACTTTCTAAGGAGAACATATTGAAGAGTCTTAGTGGAATCCAAAACCTAAAAACAGAATCACAGCTTTGGAGCAGTATCTAGCCCTTTCTGTTTTATGTGGTGGTATCCTTTGTGCTTCTGATTTTCAAAACTAAATTCTAGTGCTTAGAATGAAAAATCTCCACAGTAGATGTTGAGAAGTTTTAAGTGTTTGGTAAGAGGGGGAAAATCTGGTTTCGTGATCTTTCTGATCTAAGTGCAGTTACTGGAATTCTGAACAATAGTAATGGTTTAATATGTAGACATATATATATGAAAGAAATATATATATATAATTAACACTTTTTTCTTTTTGTAGGTCGTTTTCGTCAAATTGAAGTGCTTACTACTGTGGCCAACGCTTTTTCTTCTTTGTATTCCCAAGTCTCTGGGACTCCACTGCAGAGAATTGGGAGTATGGCCTCAGTAGCCTCTAGCAAGGAGACAGACTCTCCTCCACCGTTAACCCGAAGTAACACTGCAAATCGCTTAATGAAAACACTATCAAAACTGAATTTATGTGTTGATAAAACAGAGAAAGGAGAAGGTAGTACTCCTTCCCCAGCAACTGAAAAAGGAAAGATTCTGAATGTTTCTGCAAGTGAAGACAGTGGCAGTAAAAACGATCCAAAGTCTCAAAAAATTGTAAAGAAGAAAGACTCATCTTACATGTTGGCTACAGTTAAAGAAGAAGTATCAATTAATACATCAACTATTATGGAGAATGCTGACATGGATGATGGGCTTTCTGATGAAGCAAACACTAATTTTAACCAAGAAAGGGAAAGTGAACAAAGAAATGAAACTCAAAGTCATGGTAAACGGGGTGAGGAATCCGATATTACGGGATCCGATTTAGGTAGCGATTCCAACATGGCCAGCCACAGTGAGCCGGAAAACATGCATGTGTCCACAGCAGAAAAGGAGCCATGTGCCCCGCTGCCCATCCCATCCATAAGAAACATAATGGTACAGCAGAAGGACTCCTTCGAAATGGAAGAGGTGGGTAAAACATTACTAAGACCTGTTTCAAAGAGTAAGGGGAGAGGGGGGAAAAGTGCCAAGAATGAAAGGTGGCTGGCTAATAGACTGATACTAGAAAAAAAGAAAATTCTAATTTTGGCTCTCCAGGTTTTTTGTTTTGTGTTTCTCAAACCAAGAAGTAATCACAGGAATATGTGAAGTCAAGATCATGGTGCAGTTTATTCCACTTCTCTAGATCCTCTGTGGTCCACTGCTGATACAGTGCGTGAACTTGAACCCACTTTCTCTCAGGTTGAGATTTTGATGCCCTGAGAAAGTCCTGAGAGAATTTTCATATTCAAGTTAGCATTGCGTAATAGTTAAAAACTCAGGCTATGAAATCAAACAGGTTTGAATTCTGTCTCTGCCACCGAACTGCTGTGTGCTTTTGGGCAAACTTTTAAAGTATCTCAGGGGAAAAAGTCAAGGCTGAGGATAGGTTTGATATAGGACTGGAAAGAACAGAAAGAAAGGTAGGTTCTTGAAGGGGAGGATAGGGAACCTCAGGAAGGTTTGAAAGGCCATTGAAGAGGATTTCTGCAAGTCCAGAAGAGCAGTGTTTGATTACTTTTTTCTTTTCCCTAGTGATAGTCCTACTAGCATACGTAAATTTTTGATTGGACAAGATAAAAATATTAATTTTGGTGAGATTCCTATAACACTGCTTTTGAATAATGGGAGCTGACACTTATGAGTTGGGGCTATAGAGCTTGTGGCAGGAAACTCCTTTATCAGGGACCTCCCCTACCTTGTGTCAGGCATTGTACTAGGCCCTTGAAGTACTTTTCTCTCTCAGTCTGGGAGGCAGGCAGTGGTGGTCTCATCTTACATGGGAGCACATACGTACTGCCGAAGTGTGTGGCTATACATTATGTGCAACTTCTCTTTTTAAAGTTTATTACAGAATACTTTTAGTTATAGGTCACAGTAGTTCATGCTATTATATTAGGGAATTGGAAAATGGGATAATTGATTTTGCCCATAAATGTTCTATTAGGTGAGTGTATATCTCTCACTTGCGAAGGTTTTTCATTTGTTGCAAAATTTGAATTGTTGATATAGCTATTTACCTCTTTGTGGTCTTTGAATATATCTTTTAATACTTTAATTTCAACTAAAAAGAGAAATAAAATGAACAAGAGCAGCCTTTGAAATATTTTATATTTTTTTGATAAGCTTTTCATCTTTTATATATTTATACACTTTAAATCTTAGTATATTTCTTATTATAATGAATTTGGAAAATGACTGCTTTGACTAAAACTCCTTTATATTTCATTTTATTGTTCAATTTCTTTTTTTACTTCAAAACTTGTGATCAAAACTTGTTCAGGCACTCATAATTAAAGTGTAACTTCTTGCCTTCCAGTAGGGCACTCTCTGTGACAATCAGCTATGATAGGTTTCTTGTTTTAATACAATAGCAGAGTATAAAAATTTAAACAGATCATGGTAGATTCTTGAAAATTTCTTATCAGTGACTCAGATGTGACACTTTTTTATGCTGTTGTTTTTTTGTTTTTTTGTTTTTTTAATTTCTAGAATTCCTGAATTCTAAGCTGTAGTTTTTTAAAAAAATTATTGATACCATACACATAAAAGGTCTTTAAAATGTTTATGAAGTGCTAGCTAGATGTGCTTTGCCTCAAGTTAACATTTAATGGATAGACTGGGCTTTTTTTTGCTCCCTCTGCTGGCAAAAAACACTTAATGACAAAAAAGTAATGTGACATTGAACTTTTCTTTGAAGTACATGTTTATAGGCATTAGTGGTTAAAGAATAGTGGAGTGTTTTTTGTTTTGAAAAAAAGGAATATATGATTAACTATAGCTACATTGTAAATATGGGGAATTTAAAAAATGAGGAATCCTACTTCAGATATATATATGAAATGTGGATAAAAAGCTCCTAGAAATGTCTTAATCTTTTGGGAACTTAAAAGAGAGTTTGTAGAACAATGGATAAAGAAGGGAAATAATGTGTTTCTTTAATTTCCTCCCCTCCCAAGCATGATTTGAATCATACTGACAAATAGAGAACAGTCTTATTGAAGCAAACTTTTAGATCCCATTCAAAGCGTTGCTATTTTTCTTTTGGATTCCTTTCCCTTGAGGTTTGATTCCTATTGGGAAAGTTGTTCCTGTGAAAACAGGGAATAAATATAAGTCAGAGCGCGCACTCTCTCCCTCAGTGAGCCCGTTTCCAATCAGAGTCACTGACTACAGCTGCTTCGGAGCTAGGTAGGAAAAAATGTTGCAGACACAGCTTTGTGCGTGAAGCTGCCTGATCCCTTAAGGCAGAAGGTAAGATCTCAGTCACCAGGAGCAAAGGGAGGAAATATTTAATTGTCAACAATTAAGTATATGACAAGAATGACCCCAGCCTTGGAGAATGAAAGTGACTGTTTCTTACGTTAAAAAAGGGGGGGTGGAGGGAAGAAGAGCCACAGACTATTTTTAATTAAAAGCCAGCTTACCTTACAAAAAAAATGTCTATTTAGAGTTTCAGTGTGTTTAAAAGTTGTAAAATCTGCTCTTGAGTTTTGTAATTCTTAATAACTTGTCTGGATAATTGTGCGGTTTTTAAATGGTTTATTTTGAATAAATACATCATGGTAACTCATAACAACCATAGGTTGGTAGTGTGAATGATTCACAGTAACACCAAAATGATTTACCCATTAAGCAATTGTTCTTGCAGGTGTAAAAACTTTGCTGAGAAAGTTGGCAAAGGGATCCTAACTTTAATAGTAAAACTTTGTCATACTTACATACTTATCTGTATATTTCTGTAAAAATACTGCTCTGTGTCTTCTCTATATATGAATGTACATTCAAATACAGATATTAGTGGAAGTATATATACATAACTTTTAAGCTACCAGTTTTACTAAGTGTTTCTAATCCTGTCTTTACACTGATGGGTGATTTAACTAATGCACCTCGTTTTACTTGGTCTTCCTCGATTAATATAGTTTTATTTAACATGGTTTTATTACAACATTGATGAGGGGCCATGGGAACCTAACTTTTGTTTATATCACCTAGTCATGGTACATTGGGTTTTGTTAGATGCTGTTTCGCTTGAAGTAGCAAAACCTATCCACAATGTTAAATGATTCTGGCCTTTTATTATGTTTATTGGCCTGAGTTAATCCCAAATCAGGCTGGTACACACTTAAATTGTCCCTTTGACCTTTCAGATTGAACTGTATGTTTTGAAGGCAAGTATTGTGTCTGCAGTAGGATATGAGCTCTGATACATGACCTAATGAACCAGTGTCTGTTACCTCATAGCCCAGTTAATCACTGTTTTGTTATGTGGTTTATCTAAAAGAGCAAGTTAGCTTTTTTTTTTTTTAGAGTATTTACCTAACAGTAAAAGTAAACCAAATATATGTATGTGTGTTTTTAAAACGTGGAAAAAATTTTTTAAGGTAAAAAGTTGCAGCTAATTATAGAACCATAGATTAGTAGAGAATGAGTTAGTTCTTTGAATGCGTTTTCCAGTTTTCTCCCTTTACAGGTGAGGAAGGGGTTTCCCCTCCCTGACATTTGATATTAATTGATAGCAGTGGTTTTCCCTCATCTCTCTGAGGGTAGTTATGTTTGTTCCCTTTGATTGGTATCAGCACCTCACCCAAGGGAGGGGCAAGGGCGGGTCAGGGTGGGGAGTTCCTGGAGGGTGGAAGATAGAGATCTATTCTAAATCTTTCCCGCTTCACTGTTTCAAAATACTAATAGTCACATTTCATCATCCTCAGGACCTGTGAGGTAGGAGTTTCAATGTTTACTTTTCAGTTAAGAATTATTAAATGTTTTTAAAATGAACTAATGAGTTACTTCATTTTATGTATGGGTTACTTTTTTTTTAACAGTTAAAAGTTGGTATTTATTTAAATTTTAACATATTGACTATGATATAATGCTAGCATAGAGAGTTGGATTTTTGTTAGTTTCCTTCCCCCCCCCCCACTGTTTGTTTGTTTATTTATTAAATTATTATCTGTGTACATATCTTACCAGTCCCGTCCCCCCCCCCCCCCACAAAGCTGGTTTATAATATAGCTTTAAATCTCAAAACACCGAGACCAAGTTATTTTGTCATTTTGGTTTAGTGGGGGCCTTGGGTGTTTTTTTGTTTTGTTTTGTTTTGCTTTTTATAATTCTTATTATGAAAAGTTTTAAGCTTACAGGAAATAGTGTAATGAATACCCACTATCCGTCACTCAGCTATCATTATTGAGCCGTAGTTAATTCAACGAAAGGCAACCTGTAGCAAATGACCAGAACTCTACCTGGAATTGAAACCATTGAATAGGAAAAATCATACCACATAAATCTAAATTCTGTGTGTGTGTCATAGTTTTCTGTGGTGCACACCATCTGAAATGTGACTGCTTTCCTCTGCATACCCATGAGTAATAACAAAACATAATAAGCTGTGAAATTCAGCCATTATCACTAGTGTGTCAGTTTCTGCCTTCAACAAAGAAATCGATGATTTTGCTGAGTAAGTTGGCAAAAGGATCCTGACTTTAATAGTTTCATTAGTAAAATATGACCTTCAGACCTTTTACTGAAAGGACCTTTTTCTTTCCATCAGTTTATGGGGTTTGTGGTGACAGGAGAGAGGGGGTTAGATGATTGATTGATTGACCAATTTTTGCCAGGAGAAGCTTCTTGAAGGATAATATGCTGAGGATACATATTCACTAAAGTCATATTGTTTTGTGACTAATTTTGTAAATCTAAGGGACATAATGTTCTATATTAAAAATGAGCTTATAATTTTTAAGAGCTTATAATTTTTATCATTTTAGTGTGCATAAATTGAGATTTCTAGAATATAATTAAAGAGACATTTGCATTTCTTTTATAATTTCTGGCCTATTTGATATAAAACTCTTTGATGTAGGGTAGGCCTAAATAGAGACTAATAATAGACCTTTTGTTGATTATAAAAGGAAAATGCATTTTATTTCCTTGCACACAACACAATGGTTTTCCTGTTGAACTTATGTCTGCTGCTTTGAAGAATATTTTATAATGTTTCAATAACAAAGAATACTAGAAACTGTTTTATATGTGATTTATAGGTGATGGTTTTAAATGGCCAGTGTGCTTTCAGTCTTCAAAAGCGTCCTAAACGGACTCATGGAACTGTTTTAGAAAAAGATAAAACAAATCAGGCCCATTTTTAAATTAATAATAGCATCTTTAACCTCTGGCCTTTTTTTTTTTTTCTCTCCATGTTGATCATTCCACTCTGATTCAAATGAGTTATTTCTTTTTCTTGAATGGATTCATAGCTTGAAACACCAGTGTTCTACCCAAAACCTGTTTGCTATTTGCTCTCTGATTTTTTTCATTGTTGAAATCCCCACGTGTTTGGCTAGTTTGCCCACTTTACTAGGATGTCATTTATTATTTTAAACACTAATCATTACAGGGGTTAAAGTGTTGGGAATTAGTATTCTCCCCACCGATGGGCCCCATGTTCCATCTTAGTATAGAGTTACTTATGTTAGAATAGAGGGTGTGGCAAATAAGGAATCTGAAAATTCCTAAATTTTGTAGTTGTACAAGTGGTAGTTGGGGGTAGGGGGAGAGAGTGAAAGAGAAAACCTTTGTGGGTTTGATACCTTCTTTGGACAGAGTTTTCAGGGAAGATTTGTGGTTAAGAGTCTTTCAACATTTTAGTTCTGTAATGAAACCTGCTTTTCCACTTAACAACTCCCAAGTTATATGTCTTAAAAGATCAATTATGTCTGGACAAAGAAGTCTTACACACAGATTTGACGCCTGAAATTTGTGGGATTTTAATGTAATTTTGCAATGGGAGCATAATGTGCCATTTTTCAAAGATGCAGGATCCGGGCCTGCCTCGTTGGGGTCAGCCATGCCATGGTCTGCTGCAAGGACTCTGCTAGCATTCCTCCTGGCACTGAGCAGTTTGAAGTTTAACACGGAGAGAACTTTTTGTTATGGGTCTGTTTTTCATATGATAGCAACTTTTAAAGTTAGTTTATACATGTAGTCATTTCTCTTTGCTAGTTAGAAACTTGCACTCCTGTTAACTTGAAAGTAATTTTGAGGTAAGATATTGTGCAATTTTTAAAGAAGTGAAGCTTTGGTACCCTTTTTGTTAGGTTGATTTGTTGAATAAATGATTGTTAGGAAGGGATTCTTTGCCATAGATTCTTTTAAGTTTTAATCACTTAAAACTCTTTTTTTAGGTTCAAAGTACGGAGGAAGAAGCACCTCATGTTCCAGCCACTTACCAGTTAAGTCTTGGTAAGTCGAAAAGAGGTAAGTAGGCCAATGTCCACAAATCCCAAGCATATGACCGAAGGGTAGTCTTTTGGTTGGGAAAAGGGGTTTTGTCTGCCAGTATTTGTAGAAGATAATAGTGTAAAACAATAATTAAGAAACATAAGTATTCATGCTTCATTATGGTTTGGATATAGAATTTTTTGTATTCTTGAAGATTATTGCTCTTATAAAATAATTTTAGTTTGCTTATTCTGCAAAGACCTCATTATAAATATTTTTCAGTTCTGCATAGGACTAGGTGGGAAGTGATAGAGCAGCAGATTCAAGCCTACGTTTTTATGTGGTTATGATTGAAATATACACCTGTATTCCCCCTCTGGGTTTTCATTATTTAAATATGGCTCCTACACTGATACATGAATATGCCTCTGGCAAAAAAAAAGAAAGCCCAATGTCTCAGCAATAGTTAAAGCTAGTTAAATTAAATTCAAACTGGATCAAAGGTGAGTGGCTGAAGATGTCATTCTTCTCTTGAATTATTAATTATTGACCAAAGGACCTTTGAGTCCATTTCTTTCACTTTTCATTTACAACACAAAAAGCATGTCTGATCTTCTTTAAAGTCACAAAGCTTTTGAGATTTAGAGAAAAAGAGAGAGGAAGTCAAGAAGTTAAAATGACCACTGAAGGTAGGACTGTTTATTTTTAAAACTTTACCCATGCCGAACCACCCTGCTTTTTTTAAGCAAAGATTCATATGTATGTTCCTAGAATAGGAAATTACATGTTTGTTTTCTGATCTCTGAAATGACTTTGTAAGAGATGATTTGCATAGAATTTTTCTTTTATTCCAATATGGTACTAAGAAACAAGAGCTCCACTTACTAGGTTACTGTAGTTCCCGTTAGACACAGAACGAATTTTACTATTTAATTTTCTTCCCCATGTAAATCCATAATGTATGTACTTCTGAGCTGTGAGGAAGAGTTCATAGGAATCTCTGTTTGAGATAGGTAGACAAGGGGTACATTGTGTCAAAAGGGATAATGTAGTATCTTTGACCTTTGAGCTTTTTTTCATATTGGTCATTCCACTCTCATGCCTATGAAGTATTTCTTATTCTTGAATGGCTTCATAGCTCAAAACTTTGAGGATTCTACCTAAAACCTGCTTGCTGTTTGTCCTCTGATTTGTTCAAGATTGAAATCCCTTATGTTTGGCTGGTTTGCCCACATTACTAGGATGTGGGAAAATTTTATACATTTAAATAAAAACAGTATAATTTAAGATCTTCCAAGAGTAAGCTTCCTGTGGTAGGAAAGATGGAATGTGGTTTGTATTCACATCCGGGTTTCTTCCTCTTATTGACTTGTGCTGTTTTATTTCTGTTGGCATATGTAAGAATGTTAACGTTTTTATGAGTCACATTTTTATAAATTAATAGTAAAATGGTTTTGTGTGTTCATGTGAGGGAGAGCGGACAATACAGTGTTTTAATCATTTTTGAAGGTAGCCTATCAAATTTTGATAACGCAAACATGTGAGTATCTTAGATTAATCACAATTGCAGAATTAGAATCACTGGTAATGTGTTTATTTCGCAACTTTAGTAAAAATGCATGTAATGTCTGTATAAAAATATTCCACACTTTTGCTAATAGGACATTGGAGATTACAATGATCTTAAACTCAAATCCTGCCTTGGGATTTACATACTGAAGCCAGAGAGGCTTAGTGACTCAACTCATGTCACAAGCTAACATTCCATAATTATTCCGAGAGCAGTGCAAAACTTTCCTTAGTACAGAGGAGAAACAATATTTCCTTAAGTCTGGCAGAGCAGACAGGTGTTCTGTTTTGTTTCTTTATGATACTAGTCAAATACAATGTCCAGATGTTTTGTTCTCACTTTAGTTTGCTCTAACTTCCCAGTTTTTAAGTTAGAAAAACCTTATGTCTTCAGTTAGGACCAGAGGTCTCTTTCTTTTAAGCTCCACCTTTTTTCTTTGGAGAGTAGTGCATTTTCTTTTCTTTTCTTTTTTTTTTTTAAATATATTTTATTTTTTTACAGAGAGGAAGAGAGAGGGATAGAGAATTAGAAACATCGATGAAAGAGAATCATCGATCAGCTGCCTCCTGCACACCCCTCACTGGGTATGTGCCCTCAACCAAGGTACATGCCCTTGTTTGGAATGGAACCTGGGACCTTTCAGTCCGCAGGCTGATGCTCTATCCACTGAGCCAAACCGCTTTCAGCAGTGCAGTGCATTTTCTGAAACAGAAATGTCTGACTCAAGAACCTAGATTGTGATTTTTAGGTTACAGAATAGTTTTCCCTGCATTGCGCTTAGTTCCTAAAGTGAGCCAGCCGGTAAGATAGAGAGGATTATTATTCTGTCTTGCAGAGGAGAGACGTCATGGCTTTCCGGAATAAGCAGAGGCTTGAACCCAGGCCTCTTTGTTCTTCCCTCTGCCTGACACCTGCTCTGAAGACTGAGCAGTCTGCAGTCTGACTGTCCTGTGTGAACTCAGGCTCACCACGGAGAAGTCAGCTCTGCACGTGCAAATAAAATGGCTCTTAGCAGAGAGGCCTTGAGTGTGGCTGGGCACTCAGGTTTCCCTGCACGCACTGGCAGCTTTTTTACTTTAGCAAAATCTGGCAGCTTTTGACATTACAGCGATCTTAATCTCACATCCCAACCAGACAGGCAGTTTTACTTCCAAATCCTTTAGGAGATTGCTTAATTATATTGTTGCTTTAAGAAGATAGTTCTCATTCATTCATTCAGCAAACATTTTTTTCTTTTTCTTTTTTAATTGTTAGCTTTCGCTAGATACTGGGATACAAAGAAAAATAAATGAGGTTCCTGCCTTCAGGAACTTTAAAAAAAGGACATACACATAATTTAGGTGATAACTGCTGAAAACATAAGATGTTAATTGTCCTCTCCATTATCGTAATGCATAATGAGTACCTTTGGTAATTAACAGCTTATTCCAGTTCAGTTTCACAATGATTCCAGTTTACCTAGACTTCTCAAAGGATATTAGTCAGTTTCTTGTATTACATTATGCAGTATCATTAACTTCCAAATGATATTGCAGAACTATTCTAAATTAATGAGGAAAAAAATTACTCCATTCCATTATACTCTTTGAAACGGAGGCTACACTGGGACACTTTTCAAAGTCAGGCAAACCTTAATTGATTTTGGATTTGATTCAAACATATTGTATAGTTTTTTTTTTATTTCTAGCATTCAAATATGAAATGAATGGATTTGGCGAGCACACTTTACTGAGCCTGCTGCTTTTGAAGTTCTGCAGAACTAATCTCACGAAGCGCCTCCCTTAGTAAACGCAGCAGTGATAGAGTGTCTCCCACTGCGGCATTGTAGTGTGGATGGGCATGTGATTCTGTTTATTGTACGCAGTTGGCCTTTTTACATACTTAATGTGGGTGTTGGTTTTTTTTTTTTAGGTTATATTAACTGGGAATTTGAGGTTTGGGGCCAGAAACTAAATAGGGTTTTTATAGGATTAACAATATTATGTACGAGTTGAACCTATTTGACTGAGTTTTATGCAGTTGTTAAGAGAAAATTTGTTTCATAACTTACAAATGTTTGCATCATTTAAAACACCACGGATGTTTAGATACCTGCAAACAAGTTATTTAACTTATTGGCCTTAATTGTACTTTTATTTTCTTATTAGGAAAGTAATAGACATTTTTTACACTACATTTAAACTTCTAATTTTACCTACTACATATTTAACCTTTACGTTTTTACATAATAGAAATGGTTTATTTGGGGGACTTTTATTTTTACTGGAGCCAATATTTTAATTCAAGCAGTTGTCCTCCAAGGATAAGACATTAATTGGACTTACCAAGTACATTATAATTAGAGTTTGATTAGCAACCGGACATTGAGAATTTGTGATCTCTTTCAGTTTTTGTTTGAATTTGACTTAACTCCTGAGCTTTGAAGTCACAATTTTTAATAAGCGATGCATATTTTTCTAAGACAGAATCAATGTTTGCATATCTGTTAGGAGTTCATATGTGTGTTATAATATTGTTCTCATTGAAGCATATTTGGCAGTTTTGTATAACTACACTTCTTTTGGTAGATCACCTGTTACGTACTGCCAGTCAGCATTCTGATAGCAGTGGTTTTGCTGAAGACTCCACAGACTGTGTCTTCATTAATCAACTTCAGGTAAAATTTTCTTCAGGTAAAATAGTAAGCACTATGATTAACTTCACATTTACGTGGTTTTTTAAGTAGCTATTTCAAGATTCAATCTGTGATATCTTTATTTTAAACATAATAAGAATAAAACATTTTCTGGGATGCAGATGTAATCTAAGTGTTTGGCTACTGATTTTAGGTTTCACTAATTCTTCATCTCTGACAAATATGTAACAACAGCAAAAAAAACAACTAAACTTCTTTCTTTTTGGACCACCAGTAAATAGGTTATTTTAATCATTATCCTAGCTTGTCTGCTGTTTTTATTACTTTTTACCATCGTTGTGTTTTAGTATTTTCCAGTAAGCATTTATTTAGTAACCAACATTAAGTGTGGATCTATAGCTTGCTGATCATTATATGACTTTTATGTAAGACTATGTTAGATAACCCAAGAGTTAAACACATCTTCTCAAGGAACAAACAGTGTATGTGTTCAGTGCACAGAATTTATGTGAAAAGTGTCTAAAACACCTATACACAAATTTTAAATAAAGTTACATTAATAGTAAAAGAGAACCCCCCAAAAGAACCTTTAGAAACAGCATTGGGTGGAAATATAAGAGGAGTGACTGCGGTGACTCTGAAAGGATGGTTCAGTGGGCAGAAAAACCGGGAGCTGGAGGAGAAACTTTCCAAAGGAAAGCTATGGCCATCAGAGTGCAAAGATGAGAATTTGGCTGCTTGGAAATTGAGTAGTTGAGTGAGCAATTCTGATACAGTAAAAGAGGCAAAAGTGCAATGGGAGAGTAAATCAATGATAAGGACAAGAAGATAGGAATGTTAACTATCCTTTCAAATGATGATGATAGCTTCAGGGTGATAGATTTTTCTTTGGTCTTTTTCATATGGCAGTGGCTTAGGGAAGTTTTTAAGGAAGGGCCCTGTGAGAAGAGAATTGGATGCAGAAAAATATGGGATGAAATTTTGGGAAAGTACCCTCATCCTGGGGAAGATGTGATCAGAAGGACAGGTTGGAGGGTTTAGTTTTAAAAAAAGAGACACAGTTTCCTTTCAAAACGGAGAGGAGGGAATGATGGGAAGAGGCGTGGGGAAGTTTGTAGGTGTTGGGGAGGAAAGCTAAGCAAGCAGCTTTTGTCCATTTCCTCTGAATTAGTAGTGGCATGTGTTGCAAGAAAATGAGATGCGTGTTGAAAAAGGAATTTAAGGGAGTAAAGGTCTGGACTAATCTCGGTGAGAAATTGGAGGGACGGCTGACTAGGGTGGTGTAAGCAGTCTTGAACAGCACCTCTGTCACAGCAGAGGTGGGAGACCCCAACATACAGTTGCATCGTATCTCTGGCATTTCATTCATGATACGTATTTGAACGTTTCTTCCTTCCACCCGTTTTTCCTCTCCCAGGTTCACATGGGGAGTAGTGCCGATAGTTGTGACAGCGAGACAACAGTCACTTCGTTGGGTGAAAACCTTGCCACGCCAACAGCACCTGACCCTCCTTCCTTTAATGACTCTGCGGAGGGATCTCTCACGCCCGTTCCCAGGGGAAGCGGGAAGGCGGCAGCAGCTGCTGACAAAGGAAGGTCAGATGGCCAGGACTCCCCCCAGTGCGAGGCGGTGGAGGATACAGGAAATGAGGAGTCCACCTGCCGTGCGGGGGATCATGCTCCCGAAGTCACTGAAGTGAAAGAGGACTCCTCTCCCGCACAGCCAGAGGGACTGCCAAGGGGAGAAAGCGCCGAAAGTGACGTGGATAGAAGCACGGAATGTGAATTTGTGCAGTATACCACACACCATATTCTGAAATCGCTGGCTTCCATCGAAGCCAAAGGCAGCGAGAAGGGCCCTGAAACTAAAGCCGGGCTTCCCTCTTCCTTGGACAGAGTCAATACAGCCTTGCAAAGAGCTCAGATGAAGATCTGCGGTCTGTCTGGTCAGAGAGCGGGGCGTAGCTTGATCAAATCAAAAGACCTGTTAAAGCAGAGGTACCTGCTTGCCAAAGCCGGCTATCCTCTGCGCAGGTCTCAGTCTTTGCCCACCACCTTGCTGAGTCCCGTGAGGGTCGTGTCCTCGGTCAACGTTCGATTATCCCCAGGAAAGGAGACCAGGTGCAGCCCACCCTCCTTCACCTACAAGTACACCCCCGAGGAGGAGCAGAAATCGGAAAGTGAGGCGGTTGAGCACGATGGCCAGTCTGTTGTCAAATCCACTATCTTCATCTCCCCGTCGTCCTCTGGGAAGAAAGACTCGGAAGCCTCTCCCAGGGAGGCGAGCCCGGCGGAGGAGTGTCATCATCAGAGGGCGCCCACCTGCTCCCTCTATGCCCCGGCGCCCATATCGCAGTCCAGCTGCTCCCTCCACTCTCTCCACTCCGAGTGGCAGGAACGGCCCCTCTGCGAGCACATGAGGACCCTGAGCACCCGCAGCGTCCCCAACATCTCCGGCGCCACCTGCAGTGCCTTCACGCCCCCTCTCGCGTGTTCGTACTCCCATAGACACGCTGCCTACCCGTACCGATCGGGCTCCGTGAACCCCCCTTCTGCCATCGAGATGCAGCTGCGAAGAGTGTTGCACGACATTAGAAACTCGCTGCAGAATCTTTCACAGGTATGGGGGAAAAGTGCATCTTCACTCATTCTTCGTTTTATCGACCTGAGCACCTCCTAATTCACCTAGAGGCTAAGATGCAGAAGGCATGAACCTCCTGTCTTCATTGTCTTCCGTGTCTACACTGATCTGTACCCTCTCTCCTCCCAGACTCCCTCCTCCCGCCTCAGAAACGACTCTTACTAACGCTGGCCAAGGTTCATGTCTCTGCTCGGAACGTCCCATCTAAGAAAAGAGATTTTGTCCATTCATGTCCTTCCTTATGCCTCTGCTCCATTGTTTTTTGTCTTAGTGAGGTGGTCCTGTTATTTAAAAAAAATCTTCCCTCTCAAGAACTTTCTCTCCTTCTCTCTGCCAGTGGACAGTGTTCACCACCTCTTCTTTCTAAGTGTGCGTGCCCTTGCCTGCCTGTCGCCGTGTGCTCTGGTTCTGCTCGTAGCTCTCTGACTAAGCTTTCCCCTCCACCTATTGACTCCCGAGGCCGGTCTCCTGGCGCAGCGTTAGTCTGCCTCCACTGGGTTCAAAGCCTGAACTACCCCAGGAAAGGAAAAAAAAATCAGGTAAACTGTGAACGTGAATTAAAATAGTCTTATGTGTCTTGTCACTTAAACAACTATTAGTGGACTGGAAATAATCCCCCCCTAAAAAACGCTGAAAATAAGTAAATTGTCCTCAGGTTTGCCTTTCATATTTCACATTTCCTTTCTGTATCTTTCTGAACTACTTACATTCAGACAGTTAAGGACATGAAGAAAGGGACTGTCATGCAAGGATCAGAGTGTTCAGCAAGGTGTCAGGAGGCCTAGGATGTGCATAGTAGGTCTCTCACCATGATGACTGCAGACAGGAAGCCACTGGGAAAGTAAAAACTAAAGTTGTGACTTTTCAAGTTAGGTAGTAATGTGCCTTCTCCAAATGATTTTCAGCCTAACCAGAATGTGGGTGTTTGTCTTCCTGTGTACAAAATGTAGTTCTGTCTATGAGTGAGACATTTAACCTTTCAGCTGTAATTGTGTGACACTGGGGATTCCCAGGGCCCTGTCTCCCTGTGACTTTCTTGCTAGGCCAGCTTGTTCTACCCTGGGTGTGGCCTTCTCATTGATGTCCCTTCAGTAACTCAGTTAATTTCCACTCCCACCTCAGTAGGCAGATGCTCTTCATGACCTGGACTCTGCCAGTATCTCCAGACTTATTCCTTACGTGTGAGCTCCAGCCGTTACTGGACTGCATGCCGGCCCCTAAATAGTTGTGTCAGGTGTCAGCCGTTGAGGTTGTGTACTCCCCTAATCCGGATTTTTGAATGTTTCTATCGTAACACTCCCCTCCACCCCAGAAGTATAATTTTTTAAGTTCTCTTTTCTCTTTTTTTTACATTATGAGAACACTAAAAGGTTGGGAATGCCTTTTATCTTTTTTTCTTCACTGCCTGTAATAGTCACATATAGCAGATGCTCAGACGTCTGAGAATGAGTGATGATGGATTGCTACTCTCTCCATTCAAATCAATAGTTCTGTTATTTCAGAATGACACTTGTTATTTCTTCTGTGGGTTTTGTTTTTCTACTTTCCTAAGGCAAGAGGGAAGTCCTATAAGACATAAATGAGCTATCTGTGTTCCTTTGCTTCCGCCTCATTCCAAATAGGCTGACTTATCCCCGGAACAGATGGGAGTAGTAGGTAGAGTGAGGGACTGATTGATTTGGCTCTTGCTCACAATATGCAGTTTTGTTTTTACTATTTTTGCCTCAAAGAGAAAGACATGAAGGCCTCAAATTCATAGTTTTAAAACTTCAAATAAATCAGGAACAATCACTTTGGCATTAGTTTGTAACCATCCTTTCCCTTTTTTTGAAGCACCCTATGACGAGAGGATCTGATCTTGCTGCTGCTTCGTACAGTCCTCAGAAATCGTCTGTTCTACCTCTTTATGAAGTAAGTTCTTACTGAAATCGCTGTGTGCAAAATAACCTCTGTGACTTAGAGGTATAATTTTGTTATGTTGTATTTCAGAATACTTTTCAGGAGCTCCAAGTAATGAGGCGGAGCCTGAATTTGTTTAGAACGCAAATGATGGACCTAGAATTGGCGATGCTGCGTCAGCAAACCATGGTTTATCATCACATGACTGAGGAGGAAAGGTAAAAGTTTATTCTGTCTTAACGTGACTCAAACCTTTTTCTATCCTAAAAAGCATTGCCAACTTTTCTATTTAAAGCTAGATTTTATTTCCGCTGCTGTGTACTCTTTATCTATTTGGTGAACCAGTATAAATAAAACTCCCAAGTACACTTCCCTGCTTTCAGTGCGCTCAGGAAGGTAGTGGCTGTCCTCTGTTGTCAGTGTTTGGGGTATTTGTGAGGAAGGCTAGAGAGAGAGAACAATTGTGCTGGTGGTCACACCTGCTGTTGTGCCAGTTTCTAGAACTTGGAATTTCACTGCCTTCCGACAGCTGGTGAGGGAATGGTGATTGCATCCCCAGACTGCTTTATTCAGACGTTGTGCCTGTCCCCCTGCCATTAGGTATGAAGTGGACCAGCTCCAGGGTTTGCGAAATTCAGTCAGAATGGAACTCGAAGACCTGGAGCTGCAGCTGGAGGAACGTCTGCTGGGCCTGGAGGAGCAGCTGCGCGCCAGGCACATTCCTTCTCCCTTCCGCTCCTCCGCACTGATGGTGGGTACCCGACGATGTCAGTAGATCTAGGAAGGATTTGCTTATAGTGTTCCATGTAATTTCAGATACATGCCTTAACACTTATTTATATGGCATTAGAAGCATGGAGTATGTTTAAGGAATCTTCCCCAAATTAGTTGAATGTACACATTGTGATTACTTTCTTAAATAGTATATTTAGAAATACATTGAAAACTTTTCATCGTAATTTTTAATAATAGAAAATAAGCAGCAATAGAAAAGTTTAGGGGTTTTAAAGGAAAGTGATAGTGGTTAATCTCTGACATTTAGCATGTGATTGTAAAAGAACACATATATATTCCACTCAGTTTTTTTTCTTCCTTTCATGTCTTTGAATAACTACTTTCTTTAAGCTTTTCCTTTATTTTGGATACTTTTCTATTCTTTGTGTGTGTGTATATATATTTTTTTAATATATTTTATTGATTTTTTACAGAAAGGAATGGAGAGGGATAGAGAGTTAGAAACATCAATGAGAGAGAGTCATCAATCAGTTGTCTCTTGCACACCCCGCACTGGGGATGTGCCCGCAACCGATACATGCCCTTGAACCTGGGACCTTTCAGTCCCGGCGCTCTATCCACTGAGCCAAAGCGGTTTTGGCAATTCTTTGTGTGTTTTTTTTTAAGAAATCACATGAATTCTTTGTAAAGGCAAAAAATATATACAACAAAGAGAATTAAAAGAAACACTTTATATTTATAAAAGTACCACTCTTTATACTTCCCATGTTTCTTTTTATCAAATTTGAACTTCAAAAGTTGTAGTCTTATTTTTGCTGATACCTTTGCAGTTGTAGAAAATATTGCTTTGAAATGCTGAAGTAGTGAACTTTTCTGTTACCGGAACAACATACTTGATTTATTATAAAAAAGTGGATGATTACCATACACACACACACACACACACGCACGTATGTGCACATATGGTAAAATCAATAGAATAGGAATGTGTATGTACACATATGAATAAGTAGCATAGGCTAAGAATATTCTATATCAATGATGACTATCTTTTTTCTATAAAAGGTTTTGATTTATTCTAGAAATGTGTGTTGGTGAAACTGTGATGTATGCACTTTCAATCGCAGTAGCACCTTTTATAGGTTCCCATGACATTTGAAGGTGACATAAAGGAATGCATTAGAGTAATAATTAGCTAATTTACTTTATTATAAAACAGTTGCAGTTTGGGGGGAAAAAACACATGTAAATATATATATTTTTCTTACTTTTTCAGGGGATGTGTGGCAGTAGAAGTGCTGATAACTTGTCTTGCCCTTCTCCATTGAATGTAATGGAACCAGTAAGCCTCTTTCCTTTTAAATCATAGGGGAGGGAATGATAGAACATTTCAAAAACACACAACTTTCCTAGTGCAGATGAAATACTTTCTAAACTCAGAATTTGATGAGTTATTTAAATTGATTGGAAGGGAGTTTGGGACTTCTGGAAGTCCCTTGCTACCTTAGCCCACTAGGAAGCCAGTTAATTGCATAACGGGATTTATCTTTGTGGCCTACAGGAGATAATGCATTATAAAAACGTTTAATTTATACTCCAGGGTAATTGTTCTTTTACAGTCTGATTCCATGTCCTTTCGGTAATTGGATCTCTAAGGAGACTACTTTTTGAGCAAAAGTCTGATTTTTAACCCACATTAAACAAATTAGTTTAGCGATTTTGCTTTTCACTAGTTACTCTTTCTCGTAAGTCATTTGGACAACCATATGGTGACAAGTAAAATTTCATCCCACTAGTTGTTCTAGTTACACATTTTATGGCCTGATCTCACTAAGAATTTAAATTTTCTTTGCTATTGTTGCAAATGAAATTAAGTACCGTATTTTTCGGACCATAAGACGCACTTTTTCCCCCCCAGAAGTGGGGGGAAAAAGTCCCTGCGTCTTATGGTCCAAATATAGCCTACACATATACTTTAAAAAAAAAGTTTTTTTACTTGCCCGGCTCTGTGTGGTCTCTGTGTGCTTGCCCGGCTCTAAAATGGTTCTAAATGCTGCTGTTTACTTTACAGGGTTGATTACATGTGTTTATGACTGTGATGTTGGGTTTTAATGCACATAAAATATTTTAGGACACTATTTGTTTCAGAATCTTTTTTCTTCATTTCCCTTCTCTAAAAACTGGTGCGTCTTATGGTCCGAAAAATACGGTAGTTACTGAATGAATGCTTTAGAAGAATCATGCCTTACAAGTTAAGTGACTTTAGGCAATATAGCCAGGACTTTAGTTTTTTTAACCAGTGATCTTAATTTCAAGAGAGGATAATTATAATTTTTCTGATCTCCAGGTCACTGAACTGATGCGGGAACAGTCATACCTTAAGTCTGAATTGGGCCTGGGACTTGGAGAAATGAGATTTGACATCCCTCCTGGAGAAAGCTCAGAATCTGTTTTCTCCCAAGCAACGTCAGAGTCCTCTTCTGCGTGTTCTAGTCCCTTTCATCCTAATCGAAGAACTGGAGGGCCTTCTGGTGACTCAGCGCGCAAACCCAAGGCTCATCGGGCACCAAGCAAGAAAGTGTTCCGCGCATCCGTGGCCCTGACGCCAACTGCGCCTTCTAGAACAGGCTCTGTGCATTCGCCTCCAGAGGGGGAAAGTTCTGAGGACGTGGGCGCAGCTGAAGAACACTTAGAGGCTGTAGGACCTAAATCCGACGTGGAAGAAGGGTATGGAAAAGTCCCATTGATGCCAGCTGCTGAGGAAATGCATAAAAATGTAGAGCAAGATGAATTGCAGCAAGTCATACGGGAGGTGAGTAAAACCCATGCTTAATTTATTTTGTGGTATATGTTGGAGGATGTTTTGTTTAAACATTATTTCTAAGATATTCCTTTGACTCACTGTATTCAGTAATTTTCATAGAGCTTTTAAATTAACCTTCTCTTTGGTCCATCTTATATTGATTACAATATTTTTTTAATATTTGAAATGGCATTTCTATAAATCCCATACTACAGTGTGGAATAATTGCAATTCTGTATTATTCACTCTGGGGAAGAAGGTACGTTTAGAGTTTGAAATAGATAAACATGTGACGTGCTCTTTAGACTGTTTCTGCATTTGTAAAATGGGAGATTACAATTTAGGTCTCTTCCAGGATATTATGTCATTTTTATAATGTCAACTTACATGGGAAGGTGGTGTTGTGACTTTAATAAGTATAATTAATTTGGTCTGTTTGGTTTAATGGGTGGAGAAATATAGAAATTATATGAGTTGCTCAAAGACAAAAATACAGAATGAAAAGGTTTATCCTGAAGGATGACAGTGGTCAAACCTGATTAACCATGGTTCTAGTAACCAAAAGGACCACAAGAAAATTAGGAAGTTGAGTAGTCAGAGGTCAAATGTTAATTTAGAAAATTAATAGAATACCTGTTTTTGGCACTAGGATCAGGTAGAAAGAAAGAATTGTATATATTTTTTTAAAAAGAAGCCCTAGTTTTGATTAGTGGTTAGAGCATCTGCATGCAGACTGAAGGGTGTCCTGGGTTTGATTCCAGTCAAGGGCACATGCCTAGGTTAAGGGCTCAATCCCCTATAGGGGAGTTGTAGGAGGCAGCCATTCAATAATTCTCATCGTTGATGTTTCTATCCCTCTTCCTCTCCCTTCCTCTTTGAAATCAATGAAAATATATTTAAAAAGCAACAACAAACAAAAAAAGGGAGATCAAGTTGTTTCCTAATTCAGTCATGTTTGAGACAAATGCACATTTTCAGAACAAGCATTATAGCAGGAGAGACTGGATGTATATACTTTATTTTCCTGACATGATATATTAAAGTTTGAAAAATCTTAATTCTATAAAGTTATTTGTCTTACAGATGTAGTTATTTTTATAAGTTGGTTGTGGCCAACTAGTGTTTATCAAGCTCTATGTGTGCAACTTTCTCAGGTATGACCTATTATTATTTGTATGTTTCATATCAAAGATCAATTTTTGAGTGAAATTAAGTAATTGTTTTTCTTCACACTATTATTTGTTAACTAAGGAAGTTTTAAGATACTTTTTTTCCACCTTAGAAATGTGATACTTTTGCTCCCTTTAGCTTGTTTTGGTTTGAAAATTTTCCTTTATATTTCTAATTTGTTACAAATACTCCCTTACTGCACTTTTGGGCCCTCATTTTAAAAGTTATTAATGGATGGCCTGATATGTGCTGTATATAAGGAGTAAGTGATTCCTAGACGGGAGCATTGATCTTTGACATAGAATATAGCATGTAGGAAGTTGGTGGTGTTCTCTTGGTTCTAGAGAATTACTTAGGCATCTATAAGAATCTCCCATGTAATGTAAATGTAGATTTTATAATTTGAAGATATTTAAACTGACATGCAAGGCAAATGCTTCAAAACTACTCAGAATTTGTTATTAAAACTGTTACTTAGACACTCCCTAAGTCAGAATTTGGCATGTTTGGAGGAAATTGGGCTTAACATTTATCTGCTTACTGTCTACAAAAAAAAAAAAAAAAAAAAAAAGCAACCACTAAACAAAATGTATAGATCAAACAGTGTGAAAGAGGAGTATTGGTGTATTTAAGAAAATTAAGCTGCCCTGGCCCGTAGGCTCCATTGTTTGGGCATCATCCCATGCCCCAAAGGCTGCTACTTGGATTCCTGGTCAGGGCAGGTGCCCAGGTTTTGGGCTTGAGGCCTGGTGGGGTGTGAGCAGGAGGCAGCCATTCCCAGTCAATGTTACACTCAGACCCTGATGTTTCTTTTGTCTCCTTCCCTGTCTCTCTAAATATCAATAAACTACTTTAAAAAGGAAAACTATTTTGAAGCACTTTAATTTCAAATCCATACACTTTTCACCTAAAGACACTCGGCACTGAATTCCAATTTTTTTTAAAAAGCTTATTGTTTTAGGTACCAAGAAAGTTAAGTGAGATTCTGTCTTCCAGTAAATTCTGGGCCCCTAACCCATTAACAAAGCCACTATTCAGGAAACAAGCTTTAAGCTTGTGCTGAACAGTTTTGCCGACGAGGATTAAGCATGTTTGGCAGACACTTTCAGGGAAGTTTTCTTACTGCACTCTTGGGTGCATGAAAACAATGATGTCTGTCAGGCCTTTGTTTCCATCGTTTCGCCATATCTGAAGTTTTTAGAACGAGTGCTTTCATTACTTATAATGTGTTAGTGCAGTGGAATTCTTCTTTGGAAGGACAGGATAGGAAGTCCTTTCAAACACATGTTTCATACTCTCATTCAGTAACGAAGCTTTTGTCACATTGAAGATGCCCCTAACCTGTACAGGTTGTGTGTGTTGTGGTGGGGGGAAAGGACACTCTCGGGCATTTTCCCTGGTGGTCCATGATGTATGTAGTCAGCAGCCTGAAGCTGTTCATTTGCTTTTCTTTGAAGTAAACAAATGAATAAGATTACTGAACAGAATGAGTGAACATGTGCCCACACTAGCAAACGCAACAGAACTAAACACGTCAAAAGTGTAAACACAGGTTGCTTTGTGTTCAGAGAGTTGTTCTTGGTTTATTCAAGTTCCTAGGCTTGGCTCATCCCTTTTACTGTCTTCACTACAGTTCACCTGACACACTTTAAACGTGTATTTTGGTAAATCCCCAACTTGACTGTGTTCTTACTATTATAAAGTGTGTTAGTGATCTCTGGATAGGATGTCTGCCACGAAGTTCGCACGCAGAAGATGCGTGTTGGATGGATGCGTTGCCCCGCACGTCAGACTGGCTGTCGGTGTGTGTATGAGCCAGGAAGCTTGCCTTTCTTAATCTCCAGTAACCTGGCTTCAGCCTGTCCCACTTTTTGGAAATTGTGCTCATAAAAGCAACTTGACCACTCATCCCAGCGTTTTCTCACTCCTAGCCCTTCCAACCTCTCTGTAGCATGGAGGATTTTAGAAAGAACTTATTTGTCTGTACATCAATTCTTTCAATAAATTGTTAAAGGTATTTGATTCTTTTCAGTGCTAGTCTGTAGTCCCTTTTTTCCCTACTTCCTGTTTCCTTTTGTGTGTGATATATGGTCTCTACTCTTGGGCTCTTTCCCGGTCTCTCTCCCTCTGACTCTCACTCTGTCATTGATTCATTCAAACATTTATTGAGCACTTATTTTATGCCAGGATACATTGATAAATGAGGCCCAACCCTGCTCACAATAAATAAACACTTTCCATTTGACCTCACCCTTTCTGTTCTAATTTCCCAATTTTCACTCCCTCGCAGGAACTAGCTTGTCAGCCAGGCTCCTTTTGGCTTGCACCCTCTTATCCAGGGTGCTCTTGCTACAATTTTCTGTTCTGTCTTCTGAAACCACCTTTCCTTTTTCATGACCTGCTCCATTAAAGTCCGTCATTCTCTGAGGTGTTTTTTATTTATTTTTATTTATTTTCTCTTCTCCTAGCCCAAAGTGGCCTCTCATTTTTCACAATTTGTTCTATTCTTATGTCATTAGTGAATGAACAAATTACTTTTCCTTGTCTATTTTAGGAAACAGTATTGATTGTGTGCCCATCTTGATAATGATATCCTTGATGATGGGGACTTTTATGCTTTACTCCAGTAATGCCTATACTCCCCAGATACCCTGGCACACTTTTTTGGTTTGTAAATAATACTCTTTGACAAGTTTGTCTTTTGAATGCTGAAGAAAGACAAGACTTAATAAAATGGCGTCATGGCATCAGACAAGGGAACTGGGAAGACTCTGCTGCTCATTGTCTCCTGTAAATACAGGTGTGCAGTGGTTTTGATTCAGCACACATTGTGTTTGGGCTTGCATAGTGTGGTTAAGAGATTCTGGTTTTCATAATATTTGTGTCTTACATGTATCTGTTTAAAAAAAAATGAATATGAGATGATACGAACTTCAAAAACTTTTGGTGATGTTTAAAGTTTAAAATATTGGTAGAAAATAGAATGAGAAGCTCATATTTATTTGGATATATTCCTGTGAAGATGGTTGATAGCTATGGAGCATTTGTTCCTATGTATACTTGTGTATAAATCCATGTATTGTGCATGTACCAGGTTTATCTATATTTCAGAGAGAAAGGGAGAGGGAGAGAGATAGAACCATCAGTGAAGGAGAATCATTGTTTGGCTGCCTCCTGCACACCCCCTACTGGGCCCACAATCTAGGCATTTGCCCTTACCACCAACCACTCCTGAGCCACACTGGCCGAGCTGTACCAGTTTTGCATGACAGATTAATTCAGAGCTATTTTTGGAAAGACTTCAATTGGAATGAGTTCAGGATGTACTTAGAAACATTTTAGGAAATAGATCAGCCTCACAGGAAACTGTGGAAATGTAGAATTTTTAAAAGCTGGGTGAGAGTGTCTCCAGTGCTAATTTAGGAAGGCATTATCAGTTTACTTCAGGAAATGCACAGTTAGAGTCTTTCCAGAGGGCTGTTTGGAGGAGATGGTATATCATAAGAGAGAAAAAGGCACGGATAGGCATGTGTAGTGTTTAGGCATCTGGAGAAGAAAACCTTGATGAAATTGTCATTGTCATACTTTTATTTGCACTTTCCACTAATAAAAGAGATGTATATCTTTTTTTGAAGCTAAAGTTTTAGACAGTTGACAAACATACCGTACAACTAAAGAAGAAAAATTATTTTTTAGAGTTTATGGTCATTTATTTTCATGTTTTAAAGTAATCTGTGCTACATGATCACTTCTTTCCACTTAAAATATGCATGTTACATTTAGAACAATATATAACAATATTACTCCACTTTCAGACCATATACTTGTCTATTGTTTTGCCATTAATGGACTTTCATAACAATGAGAACACTTGAGCTTCCTGCTGACTACGATACAAAGGTGGACACTAATCAGGAACATAAAAATGAAATCTAACAGTGATTACTTCTTCCAGGTTATCTTGTGTCGTGAAGCAAATCATTTAAAAGACAGTTTTTAATATATAAAAGAATATAACTTTTTAATGTTCTCAACTTAAGAAACGTGATATTTTGTAATGTAGTTGTCTGAATTTTGGACCGACCAGACCTAGGAGTCGGGTCTGAGTTAGAGGGGAGATGAATGTGATTGCCGGCTCCCTCCGTATTCATCGAATTTCACATGAAGGTTGCCACTTTCCTTATGGTTTAGTCGATTACAGAAATGAAATGCTATTTATGTTTTTTTGAAAACAAAAAATGGATGATAGTTACGTTGCCAAATTCTTATTTTCCTTTGTTTCTATTCTAGATTAAAGAGTCTATTGTTGGGGAAATCAGACGGGAAATTGTGAGTGGACTTCTGGCAGCAGTGTCTTCAAGTAAAGCATCAAATTCTAAGCAAGATAGTCATTAAATGGGATTAATAGGTAAATTTACTGATGTTCTTTGTTTAGGTAAATGTAAAGTAGTTTTTAATGCTTTGTTTTCTTAGTACACAGGTCTGCTTCTCTAAGAAGTTTTAATTTTTAGAATGTGTGTACTATATTTTCCTACAATGTAAAAGCCCCATACAGCCCCTTTTGAAATGTAGTCAAAATCTTATAATACTAACCTCCAAGGAATTGTTATTCAGAGTGGGACAGAAGTAACTTTACAATTGTTCATACAGAAAATAATACAAGATTTACCTCTGTGTTTACCACACTCACAACTGTAAACCTACTTTCACCCCATCCTGTATTATATCATTTTACTGAAAATTAATTATAGTAAACAAATTCTGAAATTGGGGAAATCAGGACCTTCAAACCTGAGTCTTATTTTAACTGCATTGGTTCTAATGGTTTTTTAGATATACAATTTATGGACCACAATTTTAAGAATTAATCATAAGCCCTAACTGGTTTGGCTCAGTGGATAGAGCATCGGCCTGCAGACTGAAGGGTCCCAGATTCGATTCCGGTCAAGGGCATGTACCTTGGTTGTGGGCACAGCCCCAGTAGGGGGTGAGCAGGGATCGATGTTTCTCTTCCATTGATGATGTTTCTAACTCTATCCCTCTCCCTTCCTCTCTGTAAAAAAAAAAAAAAAAATCAATAAAATATGTTTTTTAAAAAGAATCACAAATTCTTAGTATTTTTCTCAATTTTTGCCTTTTAAAGAAGTGTTTCCCATAGTTCCATATCTAGTCATGTCTTAATATATAGCATTATATATATGTTTTAAATATTAAAAGGAAGAACTTTAATTTTGTCTCATAACTTTAGTTACATTTTATAAAATACATATTAATAGTAATACTCAAATGCTAAAATCAATAATTCAATTCAGTAGAATAATGCCAGAACTAAAAATATTCATTCAGTAGAATGTGAGAAACAAATATATAATTTGAAAAAATATATATAAATATTTATAATATAAAATTTAAGTATATAATATAAAAATAACTTTTAGCTGAAGAAAATAAGAAAAATAGTTCTATAAACTATTTCATAAAATAACTAACAGGGTCTTTTTTTTTAAATATTTTTTATTGATTTTTTACAGAGAGGAAGAGAAAGGGATAGAGAGTTAGAAACATCAATGAGAGAGAACCATCGATCAGCTGCCTCTTGCACCCCCCCCACCGGGGATGTGCCCGCAACCAAGGTACATGCCCTTGGCCAGAATCTAACCTGGGACCTTTCAGTCTGCAGGCTGACCTCTATCCACTGAGCCAAACCGGTCTCAGCTAACAGGGTCTTTTTCAAAGCCAGGGATAAAAGAACTAGCTCTCAGGAAGATGTATAGAGATCACACATTCTCATTTCACTTTTAAATAACCTCTTAGTAATAATATTTGAAAGATTTTGATGCTCTCTTTTTCTTTCCCAGGGTTGGCATGGATCATATTAGCTGAGAAATGTTGGAGTTATGGTATACACTGGTGGAGGTGTTATTTGTGCTTCAGAAGATACTTGCTGCTGAGCTGGGCTGCTGTATACAGTGTACAATGTTTATTCTGTGCATATCTTTTTTAAAAACAACATACATAGAAACTTAGGCAACTTTGCTGACTTTATTTCTCTCCTAAACTGTAGCTATTCAAAAAGCCTAATATTTATTTGTATGTCAATATTTTCAAGTGGATTCCCTATGTAGAACTAATTTTAAAACTTGAAAACTTCCAGATTTAACCAACATATAAATAACATATTACTGTAGACTAGCTTCCTTAAACACTGACCTCTATGAGGTATTTACTGTGCAATAATAACTGATTTGTGTTTTGAGAGCTTGAAACAACCAATGATTTTCCCTCTACTGCTGTTCATTAGTATCTCTTCCAAGAAGAAAATTTGTTCTGTTGTGAAAGTTTGCTCTTAGTTCTTGAGGAAGTTACTAATAGCAGTAAGATAGAATTCTCATATGAGGTTTCCTGCAACTACTTATTGTTCTTACACTGTAAGCATTGTTACTTTACCTAAGACAAATGTAACTCTATTATAGCTTATCTAGTATTTTTCTTTTGGAAATGTGTCTTATATTAAACACTATGTACTCTTTGCATTGTCCAGACTTCTTAATTGTAAGGAGATGTTTATTCTTCTGTCTTTTCGACTAAATAGAGAATTTTCAAAAGTAACAGGGCCTATGACTTGAATGGGTAGAAATAAATAAGCTGTTTTTGTTTTTGTTTTTCAAAATGGAAGTAATTTAGATTTGTTCTCCTTACAGTAGATGGTTTTAGTTCAGTTTAACCATTGAAAACTTGGTTTTGGGGGTGGGGGGGTGGGGAGAGGAAGATGGCTTCCTATTGTGGTTATGTATGTGTTAATAAATATGTAAGGTAACAACCAATGTTACTAGAAATATTCCCTTGGCATTTATAATTTTCAATTGCTAGTCTATTTCTTTGTGTGGAATTTTAATCAAAAGTGGTCGAGATGTTAACAATATTCTTTGAAAAACTATCTAAAAGGTTTATCAATGTTTGAATTATCACACAAAGGCTGATTTCTAAAAAGGAAAAAAAGAAAAAGAAAAAAATTTTAAAACAATAAAGTATTTATTTTGCCTAACATGTTTTTAAGTGGTTTATTTTCTGGAACTGCAACTCGAAGAAATTGGATTAGGTTTGGTGAGTGATGAATGAAGCCCAAAAGAATTGCAACATATAACTTAATAGGTTAATATTCTCCTTTCCGGAAGAAGTTGAAATGCAGTTTAGACTAGACCACCCCGGAGAAAGATACACACGGGGGGTTTTTGGTCTCATCTAGTTCTGTGGTCCTAATGATTGCCATCTGAGGCAAAATAAAATGTTTCTGTAAAATGTACTGTTCAACTACACAAAAAACATTAAAGCGTTCCCTTATTCTTTGATAAAATTACTCAGCGATTTAGTTGATTTTTAATAAGGATAAGTAAAAACCAAATACCCCATATTAATAGCAATATACTATATCAGTGATTTTTACTACTCAGCTTTGTAGCCATATTTAGTTCATTTCTGATAATACAAAATACCCAGAATTTGCTAATCAAAAATTAGAGACGTAACAGTTACAATAATAGGCTGAGCTAGTGGGCAAATCACAATAGTATACAAATAAAATGAAACTCAGCACTACTAGTTTCATCTTCCCTCTCCCCATTTTAAACCTTTGTGTACTTGAACCATTGAAAGCTATTATACTATATTCAAGCCACCTGCAGGCTGCTATGTATAAATGAGTGAGATCCATGCTTGCTTGTCAGGGGAGATGCCATGATCAGGAAGGTGGCTTTTCCAGGCGGAGGCTTATCCCTTGCCCTTGGGATGTGCTGACCCCTGTGATTTCCCCAAACCTGGCCTACTCGACGGCATAATTTGTGTTAATGGGGACTGTGTTCACACTCTCCTCTGGGGGTGGGGGAATGAATAAGAGAGGGTCTATGAACTAAGTAGAGGAACAAGGCATTGTTTTATTTGTGGGTAACTTCAGAAGCGCCAAGTGAAAAGTATGCAGAAAAAGAATAAAAAGAATTTGAAAGACTTTGGATGGTCAGAGAAGGCTTTACCAAGGAGATGTGGGTTGAGTCAAGTCTTAAAGAATGGGAAGTGGAAATGATGGGGTTCAAGTAGTTACATTTCTGATTCCCTGCTGAGCACCTTGACACTTTGTATGCAAGCTATTATTCCAGTACCAATGCATCAGCTGTGATAATAAGAACAAAGAAAACAAGGTAAAAGGCCTGCCTTAATAGTAACAAATATAAATTTAAAAACTGTATGAGAGGAGCTATTAATTAGATATGACAACTTTATATATTTAGAGTGCAGCCAGAATAAGTGCTAATGAAATGCTTTCAATAGTTATACCTGATTCCAACAGTTATATATATTTATATATATATATATAAAAACACTACAAAATTTAGATCCTTAGGTTTAAAAGATACAATGTTTACTCTTCCCACTTCCTAAAGCTGCTATAAATTCTTCCTTTCCAGGAAGGAAAATAGAAAACAAACAAACAAAAAACCCCTATGCTTCTTCAGTTTGGGCTATTATTCTACTAGCACCACTTCCATTTGGACAGGTGAGGGGCCTGGGCAATATTTATCTTCAAGAATCCCCTAAACATACTTTTCGTTATTTTACATGCATTATTATTTTCCTTTTTAAAAACTGGTGTCATAAACCTAACACTGTTCTAAAAATATAGTCTTAAAAAAAAGTTGAAGATGGCCAGATGAATAAATCTCAACTGACATAATGCATCATTTAAATGTTACTGAAATTCAACAGAATATTCTTAGAGGAACAATATGTACTTCAAGTCTGAGAAGCTGCCATTATTGACAACGGTATATCTCATCATTCACAGCAACCCCCAATTTCCAAATCACCATCAAAAAATCCTTTTTCTTCTATGCCTTCTTCATGCAGGCTCTTAGCACAATACTAGAGGCCCGGTGCACAAAATTTGTGCATGGGGGTGGGGGGAAAGGTGAGGTCCCTCAGCCCAGCCTGCACCCTCTCCAATTTGGGACCCCTTGAAGGATGTCTGACTGCCTGTTTAGGCCCGATCCCACTGAATGGGCAGTTGGACATCCCTCTCACAATCCAGGACTGATGGTTCCCAACCACTCACGTGCCTGCCTGCCTGATTGTCCCTAACCACTTCTGCCTGCCAACCTGATCACCCCCTAACCACTCCCCTGACAGCCAGATTGATGCCTAACTGCTCCAATGCAGGTCTGGTCACTCTGATCAGGCATGCCCTCTCCTGCATGCCTGATCACCCCCAACTGCCCTTCCTTGCAGGCCTGGTCTCTCCCAACTGCCCTCCCCTGCTGGTCTGATGGCCCATAACTGCCCTCCCCTGCTAGCCATCTTGTGGCGGTCATCTTGTGTCCACATGGGGGCAACCCATCTTGTGTGTTGAAGTAATGGTCAATTTGCATATTACTCTTTTATTATGTAGGATATGCAAGCTGTAGACAACTTAGGTTCTAAAAATCATTCCTTTCATGATACATATAACTCAAACTGAGTTTATTCTGGATGATCTTTGCTAATGCTCTTGACTACTCAAATATCAGAATCCATTTCCTCATGAGTGTCTTTTTGGATGTCCCAATGGAGACTAATCTTTTGTGAACAATGATTAGCCTATTTGCTCACTCCATTCACTCACTTATTAAATTTTACTGGATACCCACCCTTAGGAAGATGGATATATAAAGAAAGAATGAATAGCAGCATGTTTTCAGAAAAGGAAATGAAGTACATTGGTTAGAACTCTGAAAGAATCAATACACTTAGGAATTAGATTGTCTCCTTCTGATAGCAAGGATTTAGAATAGCAGGTCTTACTATCTGTCTGATGCTTCGAAGGGAGAAATTTCTCAAGCAGAAAAGGACATTTTATCACTAAGGAGACATCTTACAGGGAGCTTTTCATTATAGCTCATAGTTCAAAGTAAAAAAACCAAAAGTAAGCATAGCACATAGGAAGGCAACCACAGGGGAACAACCTAAGTCCTCATGAGAACAGTGTTCAAGAGAGGTGGTGGCAGCAATAAGAGCTTGAGCAAAGAGCTATCTTGCTGTTCATCATAGCAGTTAATAAGTATTTTCTTGACTGTGTTGACTAGACATTGAGAAGAGTAAAGATAGTCTGAGTGCTTCTAGAGTCAACCAGTCAAGAATGAGAATGAGCCAAAACCGGTTTGGCTCAGTGGATTTCAGCCTGTGGACTGAAAGATCTTGGGTTCAATCACGGTCAAGGGCATGTACCTTGGTAAGGGGTGTGCAAGAGTCAGCTGATCGATGATTCTCTCTCATCGATGTTTCTAACTCTCTATCCCTCTCTCTTCTTCTCTGCAAAAAAAATCAATTATATATATATATATATATATATATATATATATATATATATATATATATATATATATATGAGAATGAGACCATTAAGGAGAGAACTTGCTTTCAAGACGCTGTAGAAGGAGGTCAGCAGTAAGAAGTGGAATTGGTTTCCGTCATTGGTATTTGGAGTTGCTTACCATCCCTTTGGGGAAGAGATTAGTGATTTAAGAGTTATACCTGTGCTGAACACACTGTAATATGTTATTCATGTTCTTGAGTTAATTGTTTAGTAAATCCATCCATAGACAATTCATGTTTTGTTTCAGTACAACACATACAATTCTTTTTATTATTTCTCCAATCCCAAGGTGGGGAAAAAAAATTCCCTTGAGGCATTGCAAAGCAGATGCAATCTGATGAGTCAATTCACAAACATGAATCACAATCTTGTGCCTCAGCAGAGATTGCTGAATTACTCACAAGGGACCATCAGGTAAATCTTAGTTGAGAATGTTTCTGTGTTTGGTTGGAACACGGAATAGTTACACCACTATTACCCTACCGAGATACATGTAAAATAAGCTCACTCATATAAGCCTTCGAATACAAGTGGAATATTTACCCAGATCTCATCAGCCTTTGAGGAGATATGGGTTTGCGTTAGTGATGATAGGCATTTGAAATCTTTTTCCATCACCAGCTGAGGCATATTCTCTCCCAAATCTCATACATTTATATTGAAGGGGATCCCCAAGAGTTTTTTTATATATCTTCACAGCTGTTCTTAACTGTTGATTCCAAGTGATTTCCTCTTTATAATTATATTCATTCAACATATATTTAATGAACAACTGTGGTGTACAAAGCACTAATGAAGAAGTTAATATTTATATGACCTTATTTTACTATTTGCTCATTCTACTAGCATTTGAGTAAAGTTTTTTTTTTTTTTTTTTTTTACAATTCACAAGGATTTTTATCTTGGTGCAATTCATTATTGCTGTTTTTGTTATTTTTCAGTTGCTCTATAAGAAGCCAAAAGCAGAACACAAATAATATCACAGTTGTGTCAGGTGTAATCCTAAACCATTTTTTGAGTGGATAATTTCCTAGAAGAATTATAGCTTGGCTCATTTTGCCTGAAATGCCCACATGGGAAAGGGAATGAATGGAATAACACATAACTTGTGAGATGTTTTAATTCTTTAAAATCTAAATATACATTTTGACAGAAATTAATTGTAATAAGCACAACAGCTGTGAAGAAAACTTCATCCATGGTAAAAAAAAAAAAAAAAATGTGTGTGAGTTATAAACCACAGTCAAAATATCACAATTTTTCTAAAATAAGCTTAATTTCCAAAGATTTTGGATTTGTGTCTACTCATAGGTAAATGCCTGCCTCCCATTCCCCCAATCTCCCTAGAAATCCAAGAGCTTGGCTTTATAAAAACAACAAGTGGGACATTAGAGAAACTGATAACCATCCATTTACAACGCGTCTTGGTTTATGGATCATCTGAATTATATCAAAGCTGGCAGCAAAGCAACTTTCTTTAATGTACTTAACACTTTCCAATTAACAACAAAAAGAAAGGGGAAAAAGGAGAGGACAGTGGGGGAAATCAGTAACAGCCCGAATAGAAATCTTCTGGTGAGGAAATATTTTTATAATGGAAAAATCCCAACCACAGGTACTCATAGAGTAATACATATTTCTTTTATAGTGTGTCATCAATTTCAGCATTTCCTTTCTGCTTTTCCTTTTCTTATCTCTATTTCTTCAAAACCTAGAATGAATGAGTGTGTTGTTTTTATTCAGTTTCATAATTTTACAATTGGAGAAATATTCCTTTGAAATACAAACTACAGAAAGCACAGCCTGTTTAAATATTATGAACTGGCGGCGTATGGGTTAACAGAAGTTAAGAAAAACTGGCTAATAAATTAAGTCAATTTATTATCAATACTGAAGTATTACAAATAAAATGTACTCTATGTACATGAGGGGTTCTTCCATGCAGAATATTAGAGACCTAATTGATATGCATCAGCCAGATGATTTTCAAGTTAATATAATTCTGAAAAACAATCTAAAGTTAAATAAATATTCAACTGGTAAAAACTACAAATAATCTGTTTAACAATATTTTAAGGCACTACAATGGGATGGTCAGCATCTTCTCTCTAGTGGGAAGAATTTACAGCTCTGGGTCATGATGGTTGCTAAGGAAATAGCACTTTACCACGATTTGTGTATCTTACAGACTGATGATCAGGAAGTGCGGACATCCGTATTTCATGACCTTGATATCTCATTACAGGCAAGAGGTGATGGCCACTGCCAACTTCCTGGTTTCTTCTTTAAACAAGGAACATTTAGACATCTCCAACATATTCTGGTACAGTGATAGAAAAACATCCCATATACTGAAGGGGCTTCTTTTCAGCCTACCTATTTATTTTTATTTTATTTTTTTTAGTTATTGGTACAAAACTTCATAGTTATTTCTGTAAAAAAAAAAAATTAAAAGACTTCTAATTAATGATGTTGGTGATCAATAAGAGTAACTATTAAAAACTTCATAGTATTCATAATAAGCCCCCGGTTTGGTGATTAGGTAGTTTTTAAAATATATATTTGACTTCTCCTTGAGAAGAAATGTGTAAGCAGTTTTATATATTTAAGGTGTGTTTTTTTTTTTAACTTAGAGATTTTAAGTACATACAAATACACTTACAGATTGTGCCATGTCATTTCTTTCCTTTCAAGGGAATATTATATGCAAAGCTTATGTCATCTGAAACAGCCATTTTAGATTATGTTTCACATTTCCCCCTTGTTGAAATAGCTAAGTAAGAGTCTTACCAGACTTCCAGTTCTGCTTAACAAAACTTTATTGTCTTTTTTATGCCAGGTACCTTGCTGCTTTCCACCAAGACATGATAGTTTAATTCCTTCAAATCTAATAATCTTCACTGCTAATATCTTAGTTCAGGGTCTCTTACTTCTTATCTCAGCTATGGCACTATTTTCCAGTGAGGTCTTCCTTCTATAGTAATCTATCTGAAGTCCATATTCCCCCATATTGTTAGAGTGATTGTTTTACAGACAAATATGGTTCTATCACCCCTTCTCCTCTATTGCTCAGACTTCCAATGGCTCCCCATTGTTTTTGAGACTCTCTTTTTGCATCTCCATCAGTGATAAAAATATTCCCCTAAATATTAATTTCTTTATGCAATCCTATTTTACTTAGCTTAACAGATTTTGTTTTCCAAAGATAGGCCCACATATTCTTATAAAACCTTGTGACTTCCCCCTCAAGAGCTGGAATCTATATACTGTCCCCTTTCAACTGGTTGAAACTTCTTGGCTACTTCAAAAATAAGGTGTAGTATAAGTGATTACCTATGATTCTCAAGGTTAGGGTATAGAAATGCCATGCACTGCTATTTGTTTTTTTTCCTCTTGCTTAATCTCAGAACCGAGCCACCACACTGTCAGGAAGCCAAATGACGGTACTTAGGAAGGAGAGGCCTAGGTGGAGAAGAACAGAAACTTCTAGCCTTTGATCCTGGCTGAACTCCCAGCCAATGAACAGCATCCAACTGCCAACCATGTGAGTAGGTTATCCTGATGCAGGTTCTCCAGATGCCAGTCAAGCTACACCAGATGATCCCATGAGACAGGTTGTCCTTGCTAAGCCCTGCCTAAATTACAGATTCATGAACAAAATAAATAATTATTGTTGCTTTAAGCCAATGGTCGGCAAACTCATGAGACAACAGAGCCAAATGTCAACAGTACAACAATTGAAATTTCTTTTGAGAGCCAAATTTTTTAAACTTAAACTTCTTCTAATGCCACTTCTTCAAAATAGACTTGCCCAGGCCTTGGTATTTTGTGGAAGAGCCACACTCGCGAGCCGCAGTGTGCCGACCACTGCTTTAAGCCACTAAATTTTGGGGTTATGTATGTGTCAATAGGCAATTGCTACTAATTTTGGTACCTATGAGTGTAATGTTGCCATAACAAAAACCTAAACTTGTGGCAATGGCTTTGGAACTGTGTGCTGTGGGACGAGGTCAGAATGGTGTGAAGGAGACTGAAAGCAAAGGGCTTCAAGTAGAGTGTTAGTGGAAACCTGAAACACCTTGAGGGGGCTGTCAGCAACCCTTAAAGAAAAATGTTATTGAAAAGGAAGGAAAGGGGACCCTAGTTAGGTGAAGGCAGAGAGTTTGTCAAAACTCAGGTGATGTTTTGACAAACTCTCTGTGGTAGTATGGTAAAGAGGAAATGTACCTGATAAACTCAATGATCTAGCTAAGGGATTTCCAGGCAGAATATTCCAAGTGCCACCAAATGCCATCTTTTTGTATGTCACTGTCTATAATAAAATGTGAGGAGAAAGAAGGGGGGGGGGCGTAGATGAGCTAAAGAATAAATCATTAAATATAAGAGAGTCAGGACCTGTGGTTTTGAAATAAACTTATTTCTCTAAAAACAATTACTAAATTGGAAAATAGCTTCTGGAAAAGATCAAATCCAGGGTGAATGGCTACACTCTTTGCTAATACCTTAAAAGGATTTAAGATGGTTGCTCATAAAACATTTCAAACAGAGGAAAGATTCTTTAAAAATCTTAATGCCTACTTGGCCACTCATTTCAGTTAAAGAACAGGGCTCCAAAGACTCTTAAGGGTGTTCTATTCCTACTATTGCATTGAAAACACACAACGCTCTTCTGGATGACCATGGAGATGCTAATGGACCTACAAAATTTGCTGTGATTGAAAAACTACATCAATATCTTTAGCCATACATCTCAGAACAAGGAAATTGCAATGTTAACTGCCCTTACTAGAGAGGGTTCATGGATCATGGGAAATAAAGTAGGAAGCAAACATCATATCAAATGTAGCCAGCAGAAACAGTAAATATTGACTGAATCCTGTTTGAATAGTTATAGAGGATTATTCCATGTGTTTCCTTTATTCACTTTAATGAAGGTAAGTTGAAGGAGGTGAATGAGAGTGATGTATCTGAAATACTTCCCTTTGGATGTGACATTTTGGAACTGGAAGCTGGCAGGGCAGCAGGTACATATTTGGTATTGTCTCGGGCTCTGTGGGAAGCGTGTTTTCCCCGCGCAGCCTGCATCTGCAGTGTCAACAGTAACTAAGCAAGCACCGGCGAAGCTGCATTCCTGGAGAAACAATCTAATTATGGCGAGTCTGAAGACCTTCACCCGGTGATAATTTCCAGAGTGAAATGTTCACCGGGTGAAATGGAAAAACATCAACTGCTCATCCTTTTCTCTGTCATCTTGTTTATGGAAACCCAAATCTGTGAATGAGCTTCCCTTATTTCCCAAGCTGCATAGAGACATATATGGAATTCTACCCAGTGAGTTAGCATTTCTGTGCAAGTGCCATCCAAATGACTTCTTATGGTTTGAGCAACTACTTTGAGTAGTCACTTTTTCTGGATTCAAAGTCACTTCCTTTCAAAGAAACAAACCCAATTTGATCAAATCCTTCATTCAAGGCCTAACGTTGAGAGATGGCTGAGTCTCACTTCTTAGCTGCTCGTCATTTATGTAATTGAAGAAAGCCGAGGTCTGTCAGATCTTTATTCCTGATTTTGCTCTGGCAGGATAATTTTTTCATATTAATTGATGCTATTTCCTTAGGATTTTTGTCACTCTGATAAGAGTGAGGAAAATACACTTCCTTGCTTCAAGGTTGTGATGCAAGGCTGATTCTCTGAAACTGAAGGAGAGGCAGCTCTCCTGGACTCCTACCTCGAGAGGGCTCCACCTGGGCTCTCACCTTTTGGCCGTGTTGGGAGAAAATCCACTCCCACCTGTAACTGTTCCATGTCAGGGCCCCTGGAGAAGTGATTGTGGTATAGGATTGGGTAGTCTCAGATCAGACACTCCCTGTTCAATGCTGATGACTTTTATAGAGCATGGGCTTTTACAGAAGAACTTCCTGTAGAAAGATGACCACACACCCTTTGTCTAGGGATAACTTTTATGAATTTCAAAGTTCATGTAAAAGTAAACAGTCTAATAGGACTTCCTATCACTAGGTCAGAAGGAAGTTGGGGACTCTAGAAAAAAACAAAACGATGATGACAGAAATAATTTGGGGATTTCTTAAGCCTGTCATTTTCTTATTTTTTACAAGTCCATTCATTTTTCTAAAATAAACATCTGTGACACACATAAATTGTAAAAAATCTTTGTACATCTCTTGGGGGAGGTCAGCTAATGAGATTGTGTCCAGTATTTAGACATTCTTGTGAGATAAGACTAAGGGATGGCATAGAAAAGACACTGACCTCTTGAATGTAGAAACTCCCATGCTGGTTGACTAATCCTGTGAAACAAATGAGGTGAGTTTTTAATTCATTTATTGTGATTTAATTTTGTAAAAACGCAGATTTTAATTTCTCTGAAACTGTGCTTGCTCACCAAATTTAATGCTTATCAAATTTTAATTTTCAAAAAATTAAAAACATGATTCTTCTACAAATATAAAATTAGCAGTGTCAAAGATTGACTTAGTTAATTAATGAGGGAACCAAAGGAATATTAATACTAATTTAAATATCTACTGGTTAGGCAGAAATATATTTGAAATACCAGAATAACATTGTTAAGTTGAATTTTAAAACCTTGTGTTTTAACCTTTTTAGCTACACAGAAATCATTTACTCATCCACAGAATGAAATTCATTTGCAATGCTATTGGGCAAAATTAATTTGAATTGCTATCAGTTTTCTATAAGTTAATATTTATATTTTTACAGTTGTAAGGTAGCCTAATTAATGGGAAAAATAAGTCAAAACAAAACTATATATTCTTCTTTAGTTATCAATCTTTTGTCTTTTCTCAGTTGGTATTTTTCTTTTTATTGTGATTCAGTTAATTATATTTTTTTTCAAAATGAGAAATATAGAGTGATTCCTCCTGAGAAGTGATTTTCATAAGGGAGTGAAATTATGACACAAATCTTTTGGTATTTATTTTATGTAAAACTAAAAACCAGTATTGATGTTATTGTATTTTTAATTTTAAAAGTGTGCTTGGAAGTCAAAACAAAATAGTCAATGAAATAAAATGCTTAACAGCTTTATAAAATTTATGAAAAGATTACTAATCATAAATTAAAAAATAAATTTATAAAAAATTAATAACATATTTCATTACTCATAACTTAACGGATAAAAATGTAAGAAGAATAAAAATGTTATGCAAAAAACTCATAAAATGCTAGATATTTAATTTAATTCGTCTCTCCTTTGGCCATGTGAGGACACAAAGAGAAGGCAACCATCTGCAAACCAGGAGGAAGGTCCTCACCAGGAACTCAATTGGATGACACCTTGATCTCGAACTTCCCAGCCTGAGAACTGTGAGAATTAGATGCTGTTGTTTAGCCACCAGCCCATTTTTGTTATTACAGCCCAGCAGTCTAAGATGCCACACCTAAGGAAGATTTTGTTATTTTTTTGTTTCCTTTCTGGGGCTTGAAAACTGCCCCCTGTCATCGCCTGTATTCTTCATATTTATAAGTTTTTGGTAAAAACTCTATTCTCAGCCTTCCAGAATTTGTTTCTTGATATTTAAAGGATAGACTGTGAAAATAAAAACAAAACACAAAACCAAAAACCTTCTCTATCTTAATCTCTCACCTGGCTCTTGAAATTGAAAACTAAATTCAAGTTTGTCCTTACTGAAATTGATCTTAAGAACCTAATTTTGGGATCTAAAGCCAAACTCTGATTACTGACTCTTTCTTTTTTAATTATAACAATAGTAATCCCCAGATGTAATGAAGAGCTCTAGTTGAAGAGGAGTAAGGTAAAACAAAAAATAAGGAAGTATGAAAAAGAAAAGCTTAATAACGTGTTTCAAAATATTATTTCAAGTATAAAACAAGAACATCTACCCATGCATTAAAAATTATTGAGAGGAACTAGGTGACAAGGTAACATCAAACAGTGCTTGTTTGCTTATTTGTTTAAATAGCATTTTGTTATAAGCTCTTGTCGTCCCTCTCTCTATCCTGTGGTACTGCTAGAACTCAGAGACTAATTTCTCTTCCTTGGCAGGGACTCTGTTTTGAAGTTCTGATAGCAGTACATGCTTGGCCCCTACACTGGTCTCAGGATTGCCGCCTGTCTGACATTCTTCTAGAGTTACTTTGGAATGTAAGTCTGGCATTTACTGAGGTCTTTTCATCTCCTCTTGGTAATGGGCCCTGGTGTTCAAAGGTTTCTCTAGATTGGGCTTATTAAAGGTAATAGAAACCTAGGGCTCCCTCCACCCAATATTATTTTACTAGAGGCCTGGTGCACAAACTCATGCACGGGGGGTCCAGCCAGCCATCCCAGTCACAGCCAATCAGGCCAGGCCAGGCCAGCTGGGGGAAGGGGCCACAGGCAGTTGGCCAGCTGGCCCTGACCCTTGGTGGAACTCCCAGTCAAGGGGACAATTTGCATATTGGCCATTTGTTATATAGGATTTGGTTTCTATGTAAAGTAGTCTTTCTTATTTTCTCAGGTAGCCCCAGGTGTTATATAATTCTTGATGTTACCTTTAATTTCTTGAAAGATTTCAGTATCCTCCATGGTCAGAGTCAAAGGACAATCCATATAGCATCTTGAATGTCTTGATGGGGTCACCTTGAAATAACATATGTTAGTACTAAATCAGCCAGTTTACTATGTTCAATTCAAACATCTCCCAATACATTTCTCTGAGTTTTTTTTTGTTTTGTTTTTTTTTTAAAATATATTTTATTGATTTTTTTTTTTTTTTCAGAGAGGAAGGGAGAGGGATAGAGAGTTAGAAATATTGATGAGAGAGAATCATCAATTCAGCTGCCTCCCACACACTCCCTACTGGGGTTGTGCCCGCAACCAAGTTACATGCTCTTGACTGGAATCAAACCTGGGACCCTTCAGTCCGCAAGCCTATGCTCTATCCACTGAGCCAAACTGGTTAGGGCATCTGTCCTAGAGTTTTTAACACATCTGTGTACCCTGAGAGGTTTTAAGATTGCCTTTATCCTAATATTCTTAGAGAGTTTAAATTCCCTTTTTTCCTAGAGTCCATTTATAGCTTCCCCTCGAGGAACATCATAATCTTTCACAAATATATGTTAGAATTGGGGGTTAATATACAAATTAGATCTTTTGGAAATCCAATCTAAGCTAGTTAAAATGGCAGAGAGGATTTATTGACTCATATAACCAGAAGTTGACATATAAGTTGGCTTCAGGTTTGGTTTGAATCATCTGTTTAATCACACCTTTAAAGATTCAGTTTCCTTTTCTCTCTTCATATATATATATATATATATATATATATATATATATATATATGACTTTTTACAGAGAGTAAGAGAGAGGGATAGGGATAGAGAGTTAGAAACATCAATGATAGAGAAACATCCATCAGTTGCCCCTGCACACCTCCCACTGTGGATGTGCCCACAACCAAGGTACATGCCCTTGACCAGAATCTAACCTGGGACCTTTCAGTCCCCAGGCCGACACTGTATCCACTGAGCCAAACCGGTTTTGGCTCTCTCTCTTTTCTTAAGCTTGGTTCTACTTGTGGTCTACTTTGATGGTTGTGTCCACTTCCAGGGCAATGTGCTGGTCTATGCACATCTATGGAGGGAGAAAGGATCGTTTCCAAGAGTGTTCTCAGAAGAGGGAGGGCATTTTTTCTCCTGAAACCACTCCTCTGACCTCATCAGCCTGACATCAGTCATCCTGGAACAAATAACTGTGACCAGGGAGGGAGATTATGTTCATTAGTTTGGGCTTCAGCCAGTTGCTCCACTTGCTAGGGTGATATGCTCAAGGGAGGTGGAGATATTTGAATTAAAATTTGGGTAGAACTAAGGAAAGGGAGAGTAGTGTCAGAGACTAACCTCAATGTCCAATGTATTTAACCACCAGAAGCTAATACATTTCTTTGACTTGAAGAAAACCATACTGTGCATTGACTACTAGGCCTTGTGCCAAGCCACATACGTGTTTCTGACACTATTAGAGAGTATCTGGCCAGACTATTGCCTCTTTTCATTGAGAATTTCCCCTCCCTCAGGAATGGGCTCCTGTTAGACACCTGGTCCAGATTAGGCCAATTGTTCGCCTGCTCCAGGAATGCTATAGTGGGATTCAAACAAGTTAGTCTCTTGTGGTCTGTGGGAGCAAATATATGAAACTGGAAACTGTGGAGTGGCTGCTGCTGTGTGTGCCTAGAGAAACAAAGGAAGCACTTGGGAAAGAGAGGAGAAAGATGTAGATTATGAGCAGAGAGAAGCAATAAAGGTAGTTGTTTGACCCTAGAGAGGGAAAGACAGAGAAAAGCTTCCTTGGTTCCTGATCGCTTCACATTCAGCTACCGGTTCAGCTATTCCTTAGCCCCATTGTCTCTATTACAGGTTGTTAAAATGGAACCCGAAGACAAAGAACAATATAACAGATTCCAGAGAACATTCCCTCCACCCTCCCTGCCCAGTTCCGCAGATACTAACATGCTGGGCCACCTGTGCATGATTTGTTAAGGGATAAAGAATTGTCAGCCAGCTTGATCACGTACCCCAACTGGTAGAAGAGGGAAAAGAATAGAGAGATTTCGTTGGGTGAGCTTTATGAGGTATTCTCTGCTCCCTCCTCAGGGGAATAGAAGGATGTTTACCTTCACCTCAAGCCGATGAGGGAAAACTATGAGGGGTTTAGATATTGGTGTCCTGGAGATGGAGGATGATAGACAGTGGTGTTTGACTTAGGTCTGAGAGGTCTTCAGTTAAGAGGTGCGAAGACATTCTACTAGGGCAGAGTGCACTTCCACTCAGATTGGCTCATGGGGACAAAAGGAGACCTTCCAAAGGTGAACGGACCTGGGTCATCTCAAAAGGAAATCTCTTCCAAAAGGACCGCCTCAGCGGTTACGATACACAAGAGACGGTGAGTTATTGCTAGTTACGCAGAACAGAGCTCCCCAGAAGAGGGCAATGCCAAGGGCGGGGGAACTTCATCCGTGATCCTGAATACGTATCTCCAAAGAATCAACCAAAGTGTCCAAACGAGGAAGCATCAGCAATGCTTCAGTCCCAAGGGCACTGAGGACAGATTGCCTTTTACCAATCATGTGACCCGTTTCCTTTCTTCTAGTCCCTCGCTTCCTAGGCTGACTTCCTTCCCAGAGGCCAGAACTGGCTTACAAGGTCTGAGGAGTCAGTGAAGAAACTGCCTAAGAAGCCAACCATGACCCTCTCCCCTCCTTGCCCTGGGCCCCCATCCTGAGAATTGGGAAAGCTTTAGATCAAATAAGAGTTTAGATATTTTATTCCTCACTGGACTGGACTCTAGTTTTGCAATTATTAGACTAGAGTGGATCGTGTAATGCCAAAACATGATCTAAGAGTGAGTATCCTAGTAAAAGCTATGGCCTATAAGAGTTTTATCTTTAATACTGATAAATAATATTCTTATTTTATTTTTACATCTTACTACTGGCTGAGGGGTCATATAATCATTTTAATGACACTTCAAGGGAGATAAGATTATTCTTGATGCTGTAATAAGGAAACTGAGGCTCAAAGAGCCTCATGGAAGGGAATGACTCATGGAATGGACTTGAAAAGGAGGAATAGGTTTTTGGTAACCAGAGATGAGAGAAAGGGAATTCTAGGAAGAAAAGAATAAAGAAGCCAAGGCTGAAACTGTGGGTAGTCCAATTTGAGTCTAAGCAGGGTTAGGGTAAGATAAGTCTGGAAACATTTTAGAGTAATAGTGTGGCCATTTTTAACATCACTTTTACCCCTTATCCTCCTCTACAACTTCCTCATTTACATTCTTTAAAGAAAAATAAAGGTATCTTTTCTATTTGATCTATGTGAGAATGTACAATTTGGGGTTATGTGAATGAAAGGGGTTATGTGCCAGATCCCACAAGGTATAGGAGAAAATGAAAAGAGCTTTGGGAATTAAGTAGACCTAGTTTTAAATCTATTACTATTGTAAGAACATACTGTTTATAAAACTCAATTTCCTTGACTGCAGAGCAGGAAAATCGCTCCACATGACTACTGATAAATAAAATAAGATGAAAGTAAGGCAGATGCATAAAATAATTTTGTGACCTAAGTAAATCTTAGGTGTTTCAGGTCCCTCCGTTTACCCATTCCATCGTGTTGACAATAGTACTTCTTGTTAACATTCGAAGTACATCACCGTCAAGATATTTTTACGATAGTAAGTTATAAATGCTGAGTATTTTAACTTTCTATGTCTCCAAAAATTAAACTTCTTGCTTTAGTTACATAAGAAAGGTCCTTTTGGTGAGGGTAAGAAGGGCAATTAAACTGGAAGTGGTGTAATATCAGGCCTGAAAATTTTTAATGGCCTTCATTTAAGACGAATAGAAAGGTACTTGAGGAAGGGCTTTCTTTTCTTAGGAAATCAATACTCGTAAAACTCAAGGTTGGAATTGAGAATTAGAAACCACAGTGAGTTTATTTAAAAACATGTAGCCTGTCATATTTACTTTCCCTTTGGATAACACAGTGTTTATACCCAGAGGTCTATTTATGTGGCCGCAGCTCTCTCGCTGACTTTGAAGTGAACTTCCTCGGGCTCTAGAATCAGAACCTTCGGGCC